GTTTTCAGCCTGCGTCAGCACTGGGCGCGCTCCGACAGAAGAATCATGGTCCTCTTTCATCCCCAAAGGGTCTGCTGCCTCAGGGGTCGTGGGCTGCCCTCGCAGGCTGTCTCCTCCTCCATTGAGGTCTTGTTCTGCATGTCCCGAACCTTGTCCACCTACTGTGCTCCTGCAGCGTCTTTAGCTCTTCTTGAAGCCCCTGGACGTTGGTCACCACCTGTGCTGCCTTGCCACCACCATGGCGCCTCCAGCATTGTCCTTGACTCCATTTGCACAGCTGCGAGAGAACACTCAATCCTCAGCCCTGCCTCCGAGCAGGCACCATGTCCGTCCAATGCCATCCCACTGCGTGCAGAGTCCTCTCCACCTGCACCAGCCACTTGGGAGGCGCACAGAGAGGCCACCCCCGAGCACTGCATACTTGGGGGCATCACCCCTCACTCCCTCCTGAGGCGGAGGGCTCCATAACTGTCTGCGTTGAATCATCCCGCAGACCTATGCCAGTCCTAGTGGCAAGCCCGCACCAGGCAGGCTGTGGGGGCCTCCCAGCCCCCGTGAATCCTCACGCTCTGTAGCTCTCCACCGCACTCTGCTGCACTGGCCTCTGCCACACCTTATATGCTCAGCCTCTCCGCTCAGGAACGCCCACTTACGCATGCCCACAGCATACGCCAGGTGTCCCCCATCAGGCCTGCTTACCTCGAGCCCTCGCTCACAGGCACCTCTTGCATTCAGTGCCGCAGGTGATAGCCACAGAGGACAAGGGCACAAACGCCTGAGCAATCTTCATTTACCCTACAGTTAACCAGCTCTGGGGGAACAAATAAGAAGGGCCAGTTTATTCGATGAATGTTTCGAGATTTCCTGCTGGGTGCAGAGTTCTTGCTGTGGGCGTCAGTACTAACACATTCCCCCAGTAATTCCCAGCCTAGGCAGAGGAGCCTGGATGGGATTGTGGGAGGAGATTCCAGAGGGGATACATCTCTGATGCTGGCAGGGAGGCTTCCTAGAGGAAAGGGTCTTTGAGCTAGGTCCCGTAAGGTGGGGTGGATTTGCCAGATGGGGCCACTGTGTGGTGATTCCATAATGGGGGAGGCTTGATATGTGTCTGCGGAACACCTTAAGTTCTAAGCAAATCATCCTTAATGAGAGGATTGGAGGAAACTCAGTCAATCACAGGGAGTGATCTCAGCCCACCCTCCCCCACGCCTCCTGCTAATTAACATCTCCAAGCGGCACAGCCCCTTAGGGAGAATTAGTGGCACCTTGGGGCTGAGCCTGGAAACTATACAGAGCATAGTGATGAATAAATTGATGTGTTTAAAACTTGCTCCTTCTCTTCTCCCAGCTTTCTTCCATTGGAGGTTTCCAGAAAGGCAGGTCACACACTTTCACTTTTCTGTGTGTGAGTGTGCTTGTGTGCGTGTCGGAGAACAAAGATGCTTCCTTGTTCAGTGGCTCTATACCATCCACAGAAGCCCCTGCATCTTAGAAGCACAGACTCCCTGATCCACCCAGCCTGGAAGTACTGGTTACTGAAGTCAGCTCTCCACCAGGAGCCCAGTCGGCTCTGCTGATGTCTCCGAGCGGTGGCCCCTCGCCAAACTCTCTGGCTGGAGGGCCTCCGGACCCTCCTCCAGTGCTCTCTGCCACTCCAGCCACTGCTTCCACAGAGGACAACTCTTTACCACCAAACTCCCTGACCTTGCCTGAAATGTCACTCTGGGAAAGGACTCCCCATGGGTCTCAAAGGCCCCAGACATGCCCTATGAAGGCCTCAACTATGGCTTCTCCTGAGTTTGCGGTTCATCTCTTCCCGGTGACATCTCCTTCTCCTCCCACTGCCTCACTGTGCATGCACCCATCTGCCTAGAGGGTTCCAGAGGTGTTCAGGAAAAGAAGAGCAGACAACTCCAGGATCTCTCCCAGTTGTCTCTGCAGCAGTTCTGCCAAGGACCCAGGCGCAGACCTTGGGGAGGAGGAAAGAAATAGAGAGGGGGCCTCCCCGGTGGTGCAGCGGGTTGAGCACAGCCCTGTGAAGCTGTAGCCTCTGCAGCGCCAGTTCGATCCCCAGTCGGCCACAGAGATATCCACATGGCACGGCAGACCTCTCCTGCCTCACCTGCTGCTCCCGTCAGCAGTGTGTTTCAGTAGATCTGCCTGTTCTGTTCCCCTCTGTCTGTGGTGAATCCTCTCACCCCCGCTCCCCCATACCTCTGGCCTGTTCCCCAGCTCTTGTATAAATATTTAATGAAAAAAAAAAAAGAAATAGGGAGGGCAGCTGAGGATCCTGTGTCCCATAAACTTTGTCTGGCTTGGGCCCATGATGGGTGTGGCATAAGATGTGGGAAGGGCAGAGACTAAGGAGGATGGCAATGGCGGAAGCCGACTGGCTTTTCAGTGCTCACGTTGAGCCCTCCCCACTAGGACAGACAGAAATGGCTGCTGACGTCCTCCCAGGTAGAGACACAGCCTCTGGTCCTTTTCCTGCTTTTACCTTGTGTTGTTCGGGAGCTCAGCTAGATTCCTAGTTTCTTATCTTATTTGTGTGTTTTCCCTACACCTGGCACACAGTGGCGCTTAGTTAATGGGGAGTGGCTGGTGAGCAAGCATATGTCCCAGGAGTTTGCCTCCAGTCTTCCAGCCTGAGTGTGTCCCCTCCCCCGTGCAGGTCGGTATACTAGACATCAGTTTCTGCTCACGTCCTAGCTCCACTTTAGGTTGATTTTCTTTTCTGCTGCTAGTTAGTCTCTTCCCCAGGAGGCCAGAACTCTTGAGGCTTCAGCCCTTGGGTGGCACCTGACTATGGAGCCTCCCAGCTGGGGTCCTTGGGAGGGAAACATCATCCTCAGGTTTCAAGTCCTCTCCCACAGGTGCTCCATCGTCTGCCTCTCCTGTTGGCAGGTTTGTCTTTTACTGGCTTGTACCCCATCAGCCAAGTTATGGCTCACCTTGATGATAAGGCAGGGGCTTGGGGCTGTGTGGGCTCAGAACTCTGTCTGCAGAGACTTGAGGGAGGAGCCCAGCAGGCCAGTGTGAGGACTACCCACATGGGCTCAAGTGTTCTGCTTTATTAAATCAGGGGTGCAGATGTTAAACAAGAGAGCCTGAGGGCCTGAGGTCTGGGTGCCAACTTGCCTGCTACAGAGGAAAGCCTGCTAATGAGGCCACTTTCCAGGAAGGCCAGCACAGCGAGGGACTGCCCCCGCTGAAGCAGACGCTAATGAGGACTGGCGTGGCTGTATGGAACAGTGAGGAACCGGTTCCTAATGAGGATGACAAGGCAGGGACTCTGAGAGAGTCCTAATGGGTGCAATGGTATTTCAAAGTGACATCACTGGGGGCCAAGACCAGGGACCCTTATAATGAGGGCATGCAGGGTCAACGCAAGACCGAGGAGGGAAACTGGAGTGAGAAGTGGTCAAGCTGCTTACTGAATGGACAAAGGTCAGTATCTTAGATGTTCATCCCTGCAGGCTTTCTGGGGAGTTGTTGCTGCTGAACAGCAGAGCTAAATGGCCCCAATTTGGCACTGAGGTCCGGTTTCAGCCTGGCTGCACTGATGAGTGCTTGCCTCTTCTGGCAGCAAGCTTGCCAAAGTGGCCTCTTGGGTCCCAGACATTTGCAGCTCCTTGCTCTACAAGAGCCCTCCACGATGCTAATGGAAGCTGCCATCATGCCGCCTCACCTCCCCCAGGTGTGCATGAAGACCTTTCAAGACATGCACAAGAACTCTCGAGAAAATTCAAAGTCAAGGCACCCCACTGGCCTCCTGCCTGCCCAGCAGAAGCAGGGCATACCCTGCATCTCACTCGTGTGCAACACCCTGCACCCCAACCTGGCCGAGCAAGTGCCAGCTGATACCCTGCTGCCTGTGATGAGAAATTAAACCAGCGTGTGCCCAGCTAGCAAAGCCCTTTGCAAGCCTCATTAATTTTCAATTCACTTTTTTTAGTCAGATTTAAAGAGGACTTAATCAAGTGGCCAGCTGACACATTATTTTTGATGATAAATCACTAAGCAATTTTTGATCTATGTCTCAGAAGGAGTTCAGAAACTGAGTGATATCTACTTATCTATGTGACATTTACTTATTTATGTGCAAAGACCTCTCTGCATGCAGCAATATAAAAAATGAGATATTCTCTAGCAATAAATATTCATCTATAGATTCATGAAAATTAGATTTCTATCCATTTCATTAAGATCTGTTTCCAATAAATTTCCTCTTTAGCTTGACAATTACTTATAAAAAATGTTTACTATCTATGTTGTTTTGATTAATTGCATACAATATTGTATATAAAAGTAGTTGTAATAACACTATCTAGAAGACTTTTTAAAAAGTCTTAGAACCTTTGGTGACAATACATTAAATATTTCTATTTTAATTAATAAGTATATTTTGTGGCAGGGAATATGATAAGCAATAAAAGACTCTGAAACATAAAAATACTGCATTAATATAAAATTCTATAGGGGAAATAGAATGAACATACAAGTTCAAAATGAAAAGGAACAATGTAAAATTTCCAAAGAAGAGCAGTTCTGGTTTTTGAAAAAATAGATGAGAGTATTAAATCACTTCTGTGTTTGGATTCTGTATGATATATTTTAAAGTGTTGTAGCAGATTTATTTTAAAAGGTAAATATTTTAAAAAATGTAAATATTTACCAAATGCCATAAATCACATCCCTTACAAATTTTAAACCTTATGTAAAAAAAAATCAGAGGCCTCCCTGGTGGGTTAAGATGCAGCCCTGTGAAGCTGTCCGTAGCCACTGCAGCACAAGTTCAATCCCCAGCCAGGGAGCTACCCACATGGAGCGGCAGAACTCTCCTGCCTGGCCCGCTGCTCCTCTCAGCAGTGTATTTCAGTCAGTCTGCCTATTCTGCTCCCCACTCTGTCTCTGATGAATCCTCTCATACCCTGCACCTCTGGCCTGTACCCCAGTTCCTGTATGCATAAATAAATAAATCTTAAAAAAAAATCAGACATCATCTTGAAAACATGCAAGATGGGATATATATAATTTAAAAAAACTTGGGAGGGGGCATGCCTAGAACAAAAGTCCCTTGAACCCCGCTTGTCGGCTCCTCCAGCCTGAATCCCACCTTGTCCTGCAGGGAAGCAGGGATGTAAGCCAAGCCCCGTGGCTGTTGCTCATGGTGACTATAGGACCTTGTCTATATTTCCCTGCAGAGTCCAGAACCCTGGCCTTTGGGACCAGAACAGGCGAGCTGGGTGAGCTGGACCTCTCCTCAATCCTGACTTAAACTGCCCTTGCTTGGGGGGAGGGGGCAGTTACTGGTGGCGGTGGGGTGACAAAGGGACAGACCCACAGGCTCGCTGGTCCATAGGGAGAACCGGCCCAGGCCGGGGCCAGAGTATCTCAAACCGTCCAGCACCCTTGGCCCACTCACCCCTGCTGATGCTGGTTGACTTGACCTCAGGGGAGGCATTTCCACAGACATGGTTTATTTCACAGAGAGCAGAGATGTTGCATCTGAGGGGAGGCTGAGTCCAGCCTGAGGTGGGGTCTGGGAATTAGTTCCAATCACCAAAGACTGGTTCCTGCTATTCCAATCCCACTTCTTCCTTCCTTCTCCTCCCCATGCTTCTTCCTTCCTGTCCTTCCTGCAAGGTTATCTGCTTGGCCTAAGTATATGGCTGCTCTGACAACGCCTCGCTTCCCACCTGTCCCTCCCCAAGGCCCTGAATCTGTGGACTAGGCCAGAAGGGGTCTCCCAAGAGAAAGAAGCAGCATCCTTCAGGGGGCCCTAGGGACAGGAGGATGGCAGATTAGGGGAGTGGTGTAGCGATGCCCGAGGATGAAGACAGCAAAACTGACTCTTTCCTCCAGCGGCTGTGCCTCCCCCTAACCCCTGCCCCCAGTGCAGAGGGTACCACTCAGCTGAGGCAGAAAGCAGGGACTGGGGCCAACCATTGCCTGCCCACTGACCGGAAGACCTGTCCCATGAGCATGGCACAGGAGCCACATGTCGGCCAGGAAACTAACTGTGTCCTGGCAAGCCCTTCTGGCTCTGGGCCTCAGTTTCCTCATCTGCATATAGGACCACTGTGAGGTTCCAGCAAGAGGCTGGTGTGGGCAAACGCCTAAAGACAGGTGACTCCATTCTTCCTGGGGTCCTTGGGACTTCTCTGCTCTGCTCCCTTTTGCACTGAGACTTTGGGCCCAGCTGGTTGTGGTTCGTCGGACCCCCCATGTGACGTGGCTGGCTATGCAGCCTCTCTCTTGCCAGTCGGCAGAGCTGGCCTCCCCCTCTTTTCTGCCCCCACCAGGCAGGAGAACCCAGAGAAAGGCGGTGGCGGAGGATGAGGAAGCTGTCCTGAAGGTGGAGTGATGGCGAGCGAGGTGGGGCATTGGACGCGTCATACAGCAGCGGTCTGCTTGATGCTGTGGAAGCTGATCCTGGTAGGTGACGTGGGGATGGACATGGCCCGGGCCACGGGGACTCGGAGGGAGTGATGGTCCTGCCAGCGGTGCCACCTCTTCCTCACGGCTGAGCGGACCTATGGGGAGGCGGGGGCTCAGTTGGATCTGAGAGTTCCCTTGGGCTCCTCTGGCTCTTCCCTCAGCAGGGCTAGCTGCTGCCTCCTGCCCAGGGACAGGCGGGGTCCAAAAGCCAGGTCCTCCCCCTGATGCTACTGGCCCTCAAAGCTCGAAGCTCAAAGCTCGTGCCTCCTCTCTCTGGGAGAAGCTCCCCCCACATGCTTCCTCTGGACACACCTCCCACCTGACTGGCGGGGCCACCTCTGTGGGACCGGAAGACCTGGCTCTGGAATCCCCCTCTTCCTCCCCAGGGCACCTACTGGAGTTGCTCCACTCAGGTATTTGGCCGAAGGGCCTTCGTACCTGCTCCACACTCTGACCTCCTGAGCAACCTGCCTCACTCCCCTTGAAGGCACTACTGAGACAGAGAGCTAAAAGCTCTCCTCGCTTCAAAGTCTGATCACCACTGGTGCCATTTTATGCTCATTTGCATTGTAACTGAAGAACTTTTCTGGAAAATGGATGGAATCCCCACAAGCCAGCCTAGCATGTTGCTTGAACAAAAGAAATGTTCCGTGCGCATTGTTTGTTTGCTTCAGCAGCCCCTTCTCTCCCTGCCCTCAGACCTCGGTATCAGTCTCCAGCGATGGCCCTTCCCATCAGAGGTCTGCTTTAACCAGAGGCCCAGGCAGAGACACCACAGTGCAGAGGCAGGTGAAGCGGCCTCAGGAAGGCAGACATTCCTCTTGACTGTTTGGATGCTCCCAGGGCCTCACTGGAGCGTCTGCTCTTTGTTCCAGACCCACAATGTGGCCTTACCCACCGTGGGCCTGACTGAACATCTCTCCTGGTTTAGTCACACTAAGATTCTAGGCCCTGTGAGCTCACTGGGCTTTAGCTGGTGCCTCCAGAGCCTGCCCAGAGGGGAGGTCTTCTCTGTGGTAGAGTATGCTTTGTCATTTCTGCTTCCCTAGTCCATACCGGCCTGGCTCCTTTCTCCAGGAGACCTTCTCCCATCACCACCTCTATTCTAGCTTCCCTGTTCTGTGAGCCCCTGCAGCCTGGCTCCTGCTCACACCTCTCCCAGTGCATCTGAGGAGCTGTGTATTGTTTCTGGCCTGCACACTTGACATTCTAGGTTGGCCGGAGTCCCTCAGGCAGGATTCCTCTCCCCCCAAGGCTGCATAGTATCTCTGGCATCCCTTTCCCTCCTCCAGAACAGAGATGTTCAGAGCCAGGGACCCCAAAAGATTGGAAAGAATTGCCCTGCGGTGGGGTCTGTGCATGTTAATGCCCATGCTTCCCCGAGGGCCCACCTCGTACCTCTCCATTGAAGAAGCAGTAGAAGACAGACACAAAGAAACCCTGGAAAGGAAGGCGGGAGCACTCAGTAACCGACTTGGGGAGCCTCTCTGCCAAGGGTGGGAGGAGACAGGATGGCTGGGCAACACTGTCCCAGGACTCCAGAGGGTCAGAGCTGGGTGGGGTCCCACCCCCTCCCTCAGGGTTCAGGCATGCCCAGGTGCATACTGTGCATGACGTGCTGCCAGGAATTCTCAGAACAGGTACTGGGCTGGGGTGACTGGGCCAGGGAGGAGGGTGGACCCACCTGGGCCCTGGGATCGGGGTGACAGGGGTCAGGGCTCAGTTGAGGGTAGCTGGGGCAGTGTTTGGGCCAGGCTGGGTTCCACGCATGTACACACTTTTGTATCAGTGTGCACATAAAAGAACCACATGTGCACTGGTCCAGTATGACCTTCATGAGGGCTGGGGTGCCCAGGCACTTCAGGTCAGACAGGCACGCTGCGCCCCGCTGGTCAGGCACCCCACCTGGAATGACTGCAGGAAAGAGTTGAAGTAGATGAACACGATCTGCGACAGGTCGTCCTCCCCAGGGTTGACAAAGAAGAGCATGTAGGTGATGCCCAGGAGGGGCAGGAGAACCAGAGTCGCCTTGACCGCCTTCCTGGGGGAGTGAGAGGGTGGTGAGCTGGGTCTTAGGGGGTGTTTTTTCTGGAGACTGTGAGAGCTCACTGGGTGAGGCTAAAGATGGCCCAGATGACCTCGCTTCTCCCCCTACCTGTACTGGATTGTCTCCGATGTGGTGGAAGCTCGCAGCTTTGTCATTAGGATGCGTACGATGTTAAATAGAAATACAAAATTGATCTGGAGAGAGGGCAGCAGAGAGGGAAAAGGAGGGGATGAGCAAGCTCCCCCTGCAGCCCAGGGGAAAGCCCACGTCTCCTGAACACGCTGTCTCACCCCAGTCACCCCCGCACCTTCTCTTTCACCATGTGCTCAACTCCCTATCACCTGCGTGCTCGAGGGAGGAAAAGCAGCGCAGAGGCAGTGACAGAGCAGCAGGGCCCTTCTACCTCAGGCTCTACTCCCCACAAAGTCTACAGGCTTTGCTGGGGGACTCCACAGGAGCTGCCTGAGCCCCTTCGCCTTCTGCTGTAGGGTCCCCACTTGTCCTTTGAGGGTCTCCTGAGAACTTCTGACTAAGGAAAACTGGCCCTGGGGGCAGACTGGGTCAGCTGGAGTGACTAATCGCTGGCTGCTGAAGGAGTGATTGCTCTCTCACCTGCGTGCCCCACTCCCGCCCACGAAAAGTCCAGAATCTTACAGACACCCCTGAGGCAATGAAGACAAATAGGCTGTTGGGCTGTCTCTGAGGCTCCTAGAGGGGCCTCATTTGTCTTCATTGTGAGCTTCTTCTCAGCCTCAGCGCCCACTGCACTCCCCAGGTCCTGCCCATGTGTCTCTCTACCCATCTCTAAGTGTAAGCAGAGAGGAAAGTGAGCATGTATAGACCTGACATGCTGGGTCACTCTGGAGAAAGTGCCCTTGGGTCAGACGGAGATACTTAGCCTAGGGGTGTCTGCTGGCAGGTGTGTGCACACACGTGTGTATGTGTGTCTATGCATGTGTGCACACGCACATATCTCCAAGTCTCTGTCTTGAGTATCCATCATTTATTAAGCCTTCCTAACCCTCCCAAATTTCAGATGCTAGGCTGGAAATGGGGGGTGAGACACAGACATCTCTGTGGTCTTTGAAATAAGCTTGAGAATGTTCTGGGGGAGACGGGAAGTCTCTGACTTCACCACAGCCTACAGCCTTCAGTGGAATGGACTGGAGAACCCAGGTTAAATGGTGGGGCTGGCACTGCCCACTGTACGCTATGCTCTTTTTCCTCTAAAGGCTCATCTAATTTCTGGGTCCTAGACTTCTGGAACATTCCCTTGGATCAAGAGGTTGGACCCGAAATTTTTCCATACAAGTGATACAAAAAACTTGACCTTTTCTGATTCTTCCTGACTTCTCTGAGAGTAGAGACTATTGGAATAAAAACATATTCTCATTTCTGTCACGTTTCCCTACATTATACCTTATTTACCTATTATCTAGTAACGACTAGCCAATTCATTCCATTGATCTGCCCACTCATCCACCCACCCTCCCACCCACCCATCCATGTATCCTTAACCATCCATTTATCAATTTATCTATTCAACCACACAATTACCCATTTAATGGAACACACATAGGCCCACCCACTTGTCCATCTACCCCTCCACGCACCCACCCATGTAGTAAGCAGTTACTGAGCACCTCCCGGCTGCAGGGCTTGTTCCATGTGCTAAGGCAACAGGAGGCACAGTAAGGGTGACAAGACTTACCCCCTCTCATACTAGGCAGGCAGGCAGAGATGCTGCCCAGCTCCTGCCTCCATCTTAGCCTGGCTTTGTGCAGCATGAAAATTGCTCTTTCCTGATGAGTTTGATTTCCAGGCTCCCCCTTTACAACACCTGCACCACCTCACCCCACCACGGGCACTTTCCCCTATGGAGAGCCTTCTGACCATCTTGGCTCACAGTGAAGTCTTCGGTTCTCCATTCTTGAGCCCCCTGCAATCCAAGTCCTTCATTCAGCACTAGTGCACCCTAATGTTGTCCAGCCTGGTTTCTGGTTCTATTGGTTTGTTCAGAAAACGGACTTGCCATGTGCCAAGCTGTGTGAGCTGGCCCTGCTTACAGGAGGCTCACAGAAGGGGCGGGGACATCTTTCCAAAGGAGTCAGAAAGTCCTTGAGAAATGGCACACAGGCTGAGAGATGAAGGAATGTGGGGAATTGTATTCCAAGCAGAGAAAAGGCTGGGGAGGAAGTGCTGGGGTGGGAAGATAGGCCAGATGGTGGCCAGTGTGGCTGACATGAGTTAACAGTGAGGTCTACTTGGTTCTTCAGTGCCCCCTGCAGGGCCTCCCAGCCTGGACCCATCGCAGAGCAACTGCATGGGGTGGGCTGGAATACTGAGGAAGAGGGTGGTGGTACACAGGGCAGGCCAGATGCCCTGGAGAAGCTTCTCCTGATAAGTCCAACTGGGCCTCACCCTGCCCTTCTTTCCGGGTGCCCTGCTGTAGTAGCTCAGGCCCCCACTGGCACATTAACTCCTCAGGGAGCGGGCATTGCCTCCATTGAGGCTGTGTGTTGTGGGGGTGGGTGAGGGAGTGAGGGGGATGTGTCCTAGCCTGGTCAGAGCCTGGGCTGGCAGGTGGTGGGCCTCAGGCCGGCCATGCAATGTTCTGATTGGGGTGTGGATATTACAGTTGTACTGGACAGGCATGGGGATCCGAGCGCTCCCTAGTGGGGATCCAGTACTCACACTGTCCGAGGATTCATTCCACCTGCTTTAGGACTATCCTTTATAGTCCTTAGGAAGCACGTAAGGTCATTACCCCTGTTTTACAGATGCACAAACTGAGGTTGAAGTGAAGGTTCTAGACAAGAGGTAGGAGGCATTGGTGTAAAGATTTGAGCCAAGAAAACTGAACTCAGCATCCTTCTCTGAACCCTGACATCACACTGATGCTCCTGCAAGAATTCATGGAATATGGCCAGACAGAAAGAACCAGAAAGAAGGCACTGTTTCTACTGTAGGGCCCTAGAAGAGGAGATGGAATCCACCCAGACAGCACTGCAAAGCCCCTCAGCACAGGATTCAAACCCATGACTCCAGGGGCTGGAGGAACTGCTGGAATAGAGCCTCAGGGCCTCCAGCACATGTCCCATCCTCACAGTGACCCTGTGCAGCAGGGACTAGCACCCTCATGGAACAGATGGGAAACTGAGGCTTCAAGAGAGCAATGAGTTCTCCGGGAATCACAACACAATGCCAGGTGGTTCCACCATTGCTTGTTGAGTACTCACAGCATAACTGAGACAGAGAAAGTCGAGACGGTAGCTCACTCATTCTTAACCTGCAGGGCCGGTGAGACCGCCTGCAGCCCCACGAGGGCCAGGGCACATGCTCGGTCACGGTGCTTGCCTGTGGGAGCCTGTCCTTGTTCTGATTGTGCACGTGTGCGAAGGTAGGCAAGCAGGGAGCAGAGAGGCAGACCAGGCGTCTGGTTTCATATCTCCCTCCCTGACTTCAGCTACACTTCTTCCTGCTCTGTAAGCCCAGGTGGGAAGAGGCGGTCCCAGCCCCCGGGAACAGCTCTCCTCCAGTTCTGGGTACTAAGTGGCTTACGGGGGTACAGCCACTAATTCTCCTACCCTTCTCACCCTGTCCCAGCTCTTTGCCTCTTTGAGGACACATTCACCAAGTCACGTTTCCAGCCTGTCTATCCCACTTGGTCTGCACAGCAGTGTCCCACAGATGGAACAGTGGGCCTTCTGGCCAGTGGGTTTCACAGCTCCTGCAAGCTGGTCCTTACTGGATACCTCTGATTCCCTTCTGTTGGCCTAAGTTTCACGCCTTGTTAGGTGTAGGGCCCAAATGGATGACAGAGAAAAGCCCAGACAACTCATTCCTGCCTGGAAGGGGCCCCTGGACATTCAACCAGACTTTTCCAATTAGAATGTACCCACCCAGGGTACCAGGGCGCGTGGTCCAAATGCAGATCCCAGACCCACTGCAGACATTCCCAGTAGCAGACGGGGGCCTGGGAATCTGCATCTGGCACAGGGCAGCTGAGCTGTTGCTGGGAGGTGCACTGAGTGAGGAGACCCCCCTCCACAGAGGGAAGAGTCAGGGCTCTACCCAGAGACACGTGACACACTGGAGGTGCCGGACTGGGGCCCCGGCATTGCATGTTCACCTGGAACTGCAGGGGGGCAGTTCTCAGTCCCAGGCTTTCTCTGGTACCCAGGGAGCTAGTTCAGCTGGAAAACGGGGGTCTGGAGATGTGGTTATTTGCTGTCCCTGGGACTACTGCTGCTGGGGCACAGAGGCGCAGGTAAGTCCCCCAGCATCCTGACTCTAGGGGACAGAGCGCAATTCTGAGACCCTTCGAAGAGGCTGCCCTGTGGTGCCCCACTCATCACCTCATCACCTGTGCTGGTTTCCTCCCCTTGTCTTCCACTCCCACCCTGGCTGTGCTCTGCAGGACCATCACCCAAATGAATGCCGGCACTGAGTTCTGCCTCATAGCTCCACGTCTGGCACCCAGGTGGCCATGGCACTGTGCTTAATCTGTTTGAGTCCTGTTTCCTGCCTTGCCCAAGGTGGGCAAAGGTTAAAATACTCATGGGAGAACACAGAGCCCAAGTCTCACCCAGGAAGGGCCTAATAAATGCCACATCCTTTCCCATGACAACAACAGTGATAACAGTCTCCTGTAAACCCACCAACTGACTCACTTCCCAGAAACCCATATACAAGCCTGAGTCTCTCAGAAGCAGGAAGGCAGCTACGGGGATGGCAGGTGGCAGGAGCACATAGCCAAGGACGTGGGCATGCAGCAGCTCTGCCCCAGAGCCTCAGCTCAGGAGCTGTAGTGGTGACCTTGGACAGGCTGTTTTATCTCTCTCAGTTTTTTCATTTGTGAAATGGGAATCATTCAGGCACTGAGCATGTGGAGATTGCAAGTAATAAGGACACAGCTCCTGACAGGACTCAGCTTGGGATCGGTGCCAGCAGCGGATGTGGGCTGGACCCAAAGAGAGAAACAAGCTGAGAAGGGGACAGTGGACCAGGAAGGGGCCTGGAAGAGGAGGCCAGGAGCTGGTTCTGACAGGGGGCCCTCCACGGCCACCTTCTCTTCTCCATTCCCTCCCTCGCAGCTGGCTGTCCAACAGCCAACAGCAGAGGGAACTCCCTCCCCTCTATGCTTGGTTCCGCAACCAGGCTAGCCTTCCTTGGCTGGGTTCCAGGGTCCTCAAAAATCCTTTCCCTGCAGGATGGGCTCTCAGCAGCTGGCTGGGGTTTCAGGGGGTTTCTGCTCAAACTTCAGGGGGCAGGAGTCATTCATTGCAGCTGGAGTGGGGCTCACTCCACTGACAAGGACTGGCTTCTGCCTCTGACACAAATGGCGCCTGATGGTGGAACATCAGGTGGTAGATAAAAACCTTCCCAGCCATCTCTAGTTCACTGGCATCAAGGACACTCCACAGATGGGGTCAAATGAATTCCGGAAGTCAAAAAGGAGAGTAAGGAAATAAAAGAGAGAAAACAGTAATTGTCTCCCAGGTAAGCCACAGAAAGCCCCCTTAGGCACCCGCTGTGTGCAGGATGGGGATGGCCAGCTCTCCCTCAAGCTCCCTACATGAAGCAGGTGGCCCTTTAAGGAATCTGGTCCATAGAGGAGCCTGAAATTACTGAGCCTGAAATAAGTCTTACGTAAATGCCAATCTCTTATGGGGCTTTTTTGTACGTCTCTCTCTTTTTTAATGTATGATATGTAATGCGTTCATTTTTGCAGAATGAAGCCTCTACTTAAACTCCACCTTAATTAAAGCTCGTTGTGGATTAAAGATGCGGTGCAATTATACCTTAGATGCAAATACATTTGGCAAAGGGCGGGAGCTGAACCTGGAACAATTGCTCATTACGCTCCATTCTGGTAACACTGCTCCAGGCTGGGGGAGGTGGGCTGGGCCCAGGTGGGGGTCGCTGCAGGTGGAAAGGGATGTGGATTTGGGCTGAACAGAGGCCTGGACACCCTTTTTGCCACCAGCTGCCCCCTTGCCTGCCTGCCTCAGCACTGTACTTGGCAAGGGGACTCAGATGAGGGAGAGCATGAGAAATCTGCTAGTCAGACCCCATTCTCTGCCCAGAGAAAAACCCAACGGTCAGAGGGGGAAAAGAGGGGTCCCACCGGTGCACAGTGTGGGGGTGAAGGGGAGACAGCGGGGTGGTGTGTACATTGCATTGCGTGCAAGGGCTGCCCCAGGCCACACCCTTTCCCAGCTTCCCTGCTGTCCTGGTGCCCCGCCCTGGCCTGTCTGCACTGAGGACCTACCAGGAGGACGAGGATGATGGGCCCCTGATAGATGTAGTCCACCAGGTCACCGGGCTCCTTGCCGAACCAGCACCTGCAAAGATGGGGTGGCTGTAAATGGCCTGGGAGCTGGATTCTAGAGACCACTGCAGCTTGGGCTCAGGGGCCTCCAGTTTGACCCTTCCTGAGACTCAATTTCTAGGCTGCCCCTTCCTCAAAAGCCCGGATGTACAGCCCCAGCCCCACTGACAACCTTGCCTCACTCTACCTCTGCCTTTTGCCACACATGGAGAGGCTGGTCTCAGCTAGACTGAGGACAGGCCCTGGGTCATCCCCTCCTCCTCTACCCCTTTTCTCACTCCCCCAATCCCACCCCACCCCAGGCTGCTATACTTGGTTCTGCAACCAGGCCAGCCTTCTTGGCTGGGTTCCAGGTTCCTCAAAGATACTTTCCCTCCAGGATGGGCTCTTGGCTGGGGTTTCGGGGGCTTCTGTTCAGATTTCAGGGGGCAGGGCTGAGCATTCAGAGGCTCTCGAATAAAGGGAGAACAAGGCTCCCCCTTGCTGATCCAGAGTCCAACTGCTTGCACCACCTGTTCCCACGTCGCTTGGAACCTGCCAGGCACTCAGCAGCACAAAGCAGATGTGGAGGCGGGAGCCCTCTCCTGCCGAAACCCCCTTTCTCTGAGCTGAGCCAAGGGAACCACTGCTATCAGAGGCTGGTTATTCTCCAGGGGCACTGGTGGGTGAAACGCCAAGGTCTGGGTGTTCGACTCTGCCAGCAACGAGTGCACCTCAGAAGGGCCCTGTGGACTTGGTGACATTCTGCCTGCGTCCTCTACAACCTGAGTTCATCCAGTGCAAACTGCCTCACACAGGAACCTCCCCTGCCACCTCTCAGCACTGCAGTTCTGGTCTGTGCTTAATCACCCCCTTTGACAGGCAGCTCACTACCTTCCAAGGCAGTCCTCTTATTTTGGGGCACCTTTTATCATTAGCTCTTAATGTTTAGCTCCTGGAACCCACTTATTCCCATTCCCACCAACAAATCCTGCCTGTTCTCTCAGCCTTAGAGACTCTGTAGTCTCTGTATGCAGAGACTATTTTCCCCAGTTTCCTCTTTTCTCAGCAGGTAGCACCAAAATTCCCAGTTGCTCCCTGGCTGACCTATGGCTGGAGCTGCTGTCATCTGGGCCATGGCTTAGTAAACGAAAGGTCCCAGGAGTGGACACTGCTCCCTGGGCAGAGATTGGGATATCAGAGTCAAATGAGCTCCCACTGCCCTGGCCCGGGGTCTGTGAAATGCTCATGGAAACACCGTGGAAGTGCCCTTGGCCTCCATGTCCTTGGACCAGGCCTGCCACAGTCAACTCTCAGGAAGCCTTCCCAAGGCCCAAAGGGCTTAGGCATTGGGGTGCCTAAAGACACCATGATTCCTAACTCAGTCCACAAAGCTGGCTTGACACCTGCCACATGAGGACTCTATGCCAGGGCTTTTTTTTTCAACTTAAGAACAACAGAAAAGCGAACCTCGCCCTGTAAGGCTGCAGTTCCTTCCCCGCGGCTTGGCTGGAGCCTGCAGCTGACTGCTCCTAATACCCACCCTCCACCCCCATTGGCCTGTCCTACTTACTGTTTATTCTCATAGTAGAGTTTGCCCACCGCCCAGGCAATGATGATGGGGCAGGGGATGCCTGAAAGGACAGACAAGGGCTATAGTGGACAGAGATGGACAAGGGACCCTCATATAAAATACAGAGAGGGAGGACTACAAAGGGCCTGGGATCATGTTCCCAATCTTCCAACCATAGGCCCTCCCTGACCCCAGGGAGCCCTGTCCCTTGACCCCTGCCCTCATCCCATGACCCTACCCCACTCCCAGCCACTCCCTCCAAGCAGATCAGAGAGATGAGGGAATTGTGATTTTCTGAATTGTTTTGATAGAGAAGTGGAGTCTGCTGGCTTCTCTCTTAAAGACAGAGGTAAAGTGTCTGGACCAACCATTCCAAGCAGGGGGAGGAGGCTATCTGTGGAATGTTCTCTTGGAGGGACTGTTTCCTTCTTCCTTGCCAGCATGGAGGGGAGTGGCTGCATGCTTGGACTGTGTTGGGGAGAGTGAGCAGGGAAGAGGTTCCATCTTTAGACCCAGGAAGAAGGGCCGTGACCCTGTCCATGAAGCCCCCGTGCCCAGAGGCCCTCCTGGAACCCTCACACCATCCGAGGAAGAGGAAGAGCCACTTGCGCAGGCGCTCCGTGGAGTAGGTCATGACAATGGCTGTGTGCAGGTAGCAGCCCTCCACGAACATCCAGAAGAAGTTGGTCACCACAAAGTAGTTGAAGATGGCGGTGATGCAGCGGCACCAGACCTGCATGGGGTGGGCGGCAGTCAGGGGCAACACAGGTGCTGATGGAGGGCTGCTCATTCTAGTTGGTTTACGGACATGGCATTAAATACCCTCCAGTCTCATTCTGGGGAGCTCCATCTTCCCTCAGTTCTCTTTCACTTTTCGGGATTGAGGTAAAGAGCCAGTCTCCTCTGCTAGCACTGTGTCTGTGGCTTCTCCCCAAGGCTCCCTAATACCCCCTTTTTGTAAAGGGGATTCTGGCCCCGAGCTTTCTACAGGCAGAGGTTAGAACAGTTCCAGTGTATTTTCATTGTCACTTTTTGGATGGGGGTGGGGGGGGGCACCTTCAACTCATAGCAAGTTAACCTGGTTTCCATTTAGGGACAAAATGTGAAATTCATGTTGAAGGAAAAGCAAAATGTGCCAATGAAAAGGAAATTGTTATAGAAACAGCAGTCCAGACTCTATGAAGGTGGGCTGCAGTCATGGAGGTGATTCTCCAAGGCCTCTGGTTTGGGGAGAATGAATCTTGTTGCTATTTATCTTCCCAGCAGAGGGGAATTTGTCCCTGTCTCTCTGAGCAGGGCTACACTCCCGAGCACCTGGCAGAGGGGTGCTGGGGGTGCGGGTAAGGGAAGAGCCTGCCGAGAGCCACAGTAGCCACTGCCAGCGCCAGGCCAGAGCTCTTCTCAACAGACCCAGAAGACCCTGGCCATCTGCGCCATGGGGTCACCCCCAGGGCACCGCAGAGCTGAGGCTGGCATGTGCAGTGTGGTGTTGAGAGGAACTATGTGTTGAGGTGCACTCGGCTCCCCGGAACAGTCCATTCCCCCCTGCCGTTTCCATGAGCCCTGATGTCACATAGTCGTCTGTGCTGAGCTGATCACTGCCCCCTGAACTTGGGCCCCATCAGGATGTCTCTCTCTGTTCTGAGAAAGTCCTACTGGGGAGGTTAGCAAAAGATCCCCTCCTCCCACCTTGCTTTTCCTCCAAGTTTAAGCGACAGCTTATCAGTATAAGCCAGTATTGGGCTGCAGGGCACCTGAAAGTGGATTGACATTGGTCTCACAGAGGGAAGGCTTGATGTGGGGCCAAGTTAAGGGTCAAGCCAGGCTGGCTCGCTGCTCAGGTGGGGTCATCCAGACAAAATGTATTTCAAAGTCTCATTATAACCGTCAACCAGGAACTCTGCTTGCTCCCCACTCTGGTCTCCAGTTTGACAATGGCCTGGACAGTGTAACACAGTGGACACAAGTCCAGGGCAGGCAGCTAACACATGGGGCAGCCTACTCAAGACCCTGTGGGCCCAGAGTAGAGGAATCATTACAATTCCAAGCCTTAGTCTCCATGTCTGGGGCGGGAGGGGGGTGGGAATCACTACAGGCCTCTCATTGGGATAATGAGATAAAGCTTAGAGGATAATTCTAACTTTCTTTGGGGGTGATCCTGAATTTCCAAGATGGGGATTGGGACATAATAGAAACCCAAGTCCATTGCCAGGTTTATGCTGTTCCCGGCCTGGCAGTGCCCCTGCCCCTTGCCCCCGACTGTGGGGCAATGATTGGGTGGAGATGAGCTCAGGTGCAGCCTGCACATGAGGGTTGGGCAGAGATGGGTGCCCCAGTGCTGAGTGCCCCCAGCCCAGCCCTGAGCCTACACCCAGTGACCTCGTTGCTTTCATGCACTTCGTGGTCAATGAGCTGCAGCAGGAACCACGTGGCATTTCGCAGGATAAAGGTGGTGATGAGGTTCCAGTGAATCACGTTCCGCAGGCAGCGGATGCTCCTGTGGGAGGCCCAAATGAGGGTTAGCTGGGGTCAGGGGTCAGCGAGGGCATGGGGGGTAGAAACTTGGTAGAAACAGGCTGGAATGAGGCCCCCCCCGCCCCCTTGTCCTGTGGTGGCACAGCTGGCCCCTCAGAGCCAGGTGCCCCCTGCCTCCCGCACAGCAGCTGGCGGCCAGGCCCTGGCACCTCCTGCAAGCCCCCTCTGCCCACTGACTCCAGGGCCTCCAGGGTGCAGGTGGGCATGCCTGGGAGGTGAAGCGGGTACTGTGAGAGGAGGAAGGGGACAGCAGGCATAGGGAGACTCACCGCAGGACCAGGAAAAGCAGGAAGGCAGCCACGAGGGCCACCACAGAGACACAGTGGCCCAGGTAGTTGATGACGAGGGCAATGTGGTAGTGCAGCTCGTATTTCCTCTGCTGGATGGACAGATATACAAGCAGACTGAGGCAGGGACATGTGGAGAGCGGGGCTGGGTGCTGTAGCAGTGCCCACCCTGCGTGTCCCACCTGGGGCACAAGTGGCTTCAAGAGTCACTATGTTGGAGGGTGGCTGCAGAGCTCACGCCTCATGCTTACATGGCTGCTGTCAGGCCTCTCGACATGCAATCTGGGGCAGATTTGGACAGAGTATTCCGAGATACATCAGAGGTATGGGCCTGGGATTTTCTTTTCTTTTTGATTCCCGCTGAAAGATGCCACACCTGTGTTTAGTCCCTGCTCATACTCCAGCTGGCAAGCTGATAGCTCTCTCCCCACCTCAGCTTTGGCATATGTGCCATGAGCCAATCTGCCCTCCTCCCTCAGAAGCAGCAACTTACTGGAGCTCTGGAGGTAGCCTGGGCTCAGTGCAGCATGGATGTGTATGGGTGTGTGTGTGTGTGCATTGTCTGTAGAGAGTTTAAGAATATTAAAACCAAGTAAGAATGGGTATGTCTTTTAGTATCACCACATGCTGACAATTCTAAACAACAGCAGCAATAAAGGCCTCCTTCCTGCCAGGGCAGACTGCGCCCTCAGTCCCCACTTTGTTTGCCACTGCTCACAGGGGCTGTAAGACAGCAAGGAGAGGACAGTGGTGAAAGGAACCTCCTTGCCTCTCGTCTGACCTTCCCGTGTGTCACTCCCGCCGCCCTCACTGCAGACGCTTGGGGTTCACATTTGGTAGAATCGCCTTCTCAGAGTAGGCAAAGGTTTTGGGGGAAAAGCTCCACCCTACCAGGGGATGAGTTAGGCAAAGAGGAGGGGGATGGAGGTGTGATGTATCATTTTAGGTCAGAATGAGGTACTGCTTGAAAAGGAGGAGGCAGGCAGGTGGCATGGAGCCCAGCTCCAGGGAAGGGGGTTGGCAAGGTCTGAGGGGGACAGTTTCCCATGGGACTTCTCTTCTGGGGGCTGCACTTGTTTCTACAGAGAGAAACAAGGTACACAGCAGGAAGGCTAGGTGGGAAACAGGCATAGAGGAGGAGGGACGTCACAGAGCCCGCTAGATGTTGGAGAGCACGGGTTACGTGATCACTCCCTTCTTATGCCCTTGGCTGTGTCCTCCAGCAGCCCAAATTCTCCTTACAGTGGCATTCCATGGCCTGCCTCTCCCTCACCACAGTGTCACTGGGCACAGGGACAGGGAAAGAGGTACAGACAGGGGTGATCTGGTGTCACTAGGACTGTTTCTGTCCTATCCTTGGGGTGCTCCCCCTAAGTCCTAATACTGGGTTGTCAGAAAAGTCATGATATATTTTTTCTGTTTTTTCAAACAAAAATGCATCATGACTTTTCTGACAACCCAATATTTGTATGAGGACCAGGGTTGGGACAGGGGTGGGGGAGCTTACCTTGTCATCTAAAATGGGCTCACACTGTGAGTAGTTGATCCGCGAGGCCCACGTCCCATTCTCCAAGCACAGCCGGTAGGCGTTCCCTATTAAAGACACCAACCGCCAAGAAGCAGGTCACTCCTCTTCAAGAATACTCCCTGGCTCCCAAGTGCCCACAGGATAAAGACCACACCTCTCAACTTCTCCAAGCCAGGACACAAAGTGTGTCTGAAAGTTCATATTAAAATCATTTATGGGAAAACTGCACCACAGTTTTACACACATGACAGCTAAAGGGCAAATAACAGCCTTTTTGGGGACAATCTTTGACCAGCATTTTGCACACTTTATTTAATTTTGTTTGACCCTTGAGTTGGAGCAGAAGATTCACTGCTATGAGCACACCAAATAATTTCCATCTTTGCACTGCAACCATCTTATGCTTTTGAGAGCCATACTTTTTCACCAGTATTAGCAATTCCAGTTTCATCATAGCTACCATCTGCACAGTAGGCGCTTACCACACATATACCAAGTTCTCTTTTACACATTTGATCATGCTTGCCTCTTTGTAGGGGCAGGAAGGGCACGGAGCAGGTTTTTATGATCGAGCAGATGGGTGAAGGAGAAACCTGGAGCCCTCGGTGACTTATTCAGGTTTTATTGGGATTTTACCAGGTACACGGCAGGCAGAGTGGCCGGGAGGCTGGCAGGCCTCCCAGCCCCCAGCAAGTCTTCACTCTTTCTGGGCTCTCTGGTGTTCTCTTGTGGCCTTGTCTTCTCTGCTCCTTTCCTTGTCTTCTGTTCCGCTCTCTGTTCTGCTGGTGTCCCCATGCCGCCGCCCTTACAAGCCCACTCTCTCAGCCCAGGTGAACCCACCTACGCATGCCCACACCCTACTCCAGGTGCCCACCATCAGGCATGCATTCAGGACCGCAGGGATCCATCATCAATCCTAATGGCGGGAGGGCAGAAAAGCCTGATACTTTACTTACCCTACACTCTTCAATACTCATGTAACCCCATGATGCGGGTACTAATAATATTGTCATGTGTTTTTTACAGAGAAGGAAACTGAGGGACAAGGAGATTAAGCTGTTTGCCAGGGATAAAAGATGAGAAGCCCAGAAGGTCTGGCTTCAGGTTTTAAGTTCTTAAGTTCTTTTAAGTTCTTAACCCCTAGCAGCTGAGTGGTAGTGCATGGGGATGAGAGACCCTGCTGGGCTCTGACCGTGCAGCTGGCTGTGAGCTGTAGCTGCCTGGACACCACCATGTGACGTGAGTGTCTGAGAATGGCGTTCATACGAAAGTTAGAATGTGACGCGTGAAGAGACATTTCAGGGCATCAATGCCTGACGTATAAAAGTACAGGTTTTATCAAAGGAGAATGTAGAAAAGTCAAAGACTGTTCATCCTTGCCTTTCTCTAAATCCTTATTTAATTTTCAAGGTCTAGCTCCTAAGTCACCCCCTCCAGGGAGTTCACCCTCAACCTCAATCAAGAGGAAACCCTCCCAACTAAGAACTCCAGAGCCCTCTGCCAGCCTCTGCTCTGTGTTGCGCCCTTAGCATTAATATGAATCTTATCTGTGCACCTTGATTACAAATACAAGATTACAAATTCTTGTCTGGGGATGATTTGTACCAGGGTCCTGCTCTCTGACTAATGGGAAGTTATTTGTGCATTTCTCTTTCAGGCTTATGTTAGATATACAACATAAAGCCAATTAAAAACAAATAGCTCACGGAGCATAGAGTCACAGAGCTGGAAAGGGATTCTTAGATTGTTTTTGGAAGCAGTGAGTTCTAAAATAATTAAATTACTTTAAAAAACCCACTTCCGTTGGGCTGACAGTGAGTTAAAAGCAATGGAATTATTAAGAAGCACTTGCTGAAGAGCAGAAACAATGGGGGAGATTCTATTAGCCTAATTGTTTTTTAATTTGGTGCTCTAAACTCACAGATTTTTCAACTCCAGAGTTGTTACTGTCCTATTCCTGCCTCCCAGGACTGTCGGTACGAAGCCCACTTCAGGCAGGATGCTGGTTCCTGTTGGTGTCATCAGGCCAAAGCTGGTTGCCACTGATTCTGACCCCCCTGGGAGCACACCAGCTCCTTGCCCTGACCACAGCACCCAATTCCCCATGAGCTTCCCCTCTCTTCAGGTTTGTTTCATTGGTGTAAAATAATTTGATGCATAGGATAAATAATATTGAACTAAAGGAAAGAAAGTGGGGTGAAGCTAAAAGGACTCAAGTGAAAGTATCTTAGGAGGGTGAGTCCTTTGTAAAATGAATAATCCTTTCTTGAATCCCTCTCAACAGACACATGTGAAATGAGACAAACCCAGATCCTGGCTGAAATTCAAAGGGGAACACAATTTGTCATCTGGAGATACATTCATAGATTATTCAGCTTCCCTGAAGCCCAGTGCTAAAGCCCTTCCTCCAGGAAGACCATCTTGATTTTTCCCCACCTCATGATCTCTCCTCTTCTCTCCTTAGCCCTCCCAGAACTGAGAGCCTGTGCTTCACACTCTAGTGCTTACTCATGACCTGCTTTGATTTGAGCTGTCCAGGTATGTGAGTCTGGTCTCTGAGCAGTGTGGGAATCCACAAAGACAAGACCTTGGAATACCTTTTTCCCAAGTATATCTCATGGTAGCACTGACCATGAGGCTTACAAATGAGAGAGGGTCAGGATAAAGATGCTGCGTTCTGAGATCTTTCTTGTTTGTCGTATCAAATGTCCCTGGGATAAAAAATTCAATGAATTCTGTCTTTTTGTTTTCTTTTTCTGGTACCCAGTCCCCTTCTGCCAATTCCTCTGCCCTCTCTCTAGATGCCCTAGCTAGACTGGCTCAACAGTCTTCTACCTGTTTCCCTGTTTCTTCTCTTCTCCCCTTGATTTTTGCCATGCTTTGCCCTTATAGCCAGAATGATCATCTTGGTGCCTGCTTAAAACCCACCAGTGATTTTTTATTACTCTTGAGAATAAAGTCCAGATTTCCTGGTGTGATATTCAAAGGTCTTGACACTTGGGCCCCAGCTTAGATTTCCTGATCCATCTCTACCATTCTATATTATAGATGACATTTGCACTAATAGGCCTGGCACACACCCAGCTCCTTGCTGAAGCACCTCTTGAAACACCCTTCTGCCTCTCACCCATTGTTCACTATCTACCTTCTAAACCCCAACTCAAATTCTACTTCCTCCTGAGGACTTCCACAATAACCTAGGTAGGAAACAATCCTTCTTTTACTCTCTAAACACCTCCTCTATATCTTCCCATCTCTTGAAACATAGGCCTTCACATTATTGCCCTTGAACCATAGCAACATATCCATCTCATACCACAATCCAATACACATGAACCACACTGCTGAATGCAGTCTCACAAAACAAAATTTATCTTTTTTGTTTTAAAGATTTATTTATTTATTTATACAAGCACTGGGTACAGTCAGAAGCGCGGGAGGATGACAGGATTCACCAGAGTCAGAGTGGGGAATAGAACAGGCAGACCGACGAAATACACTGCTGAGGGGAGCAGCGGGCGCGGCAGGAGAGGTCCACGCACCATGTGGGACCCTTCCCGGCGGCCGGGGTTCGAACTGGCACTGCAGAGGCCGCGACCAGCCTCGCAGCCCAGCGCTCAACCGCTGTGCCACCAGGGGAGGCCCACAACAAAATTTATCTTGACAATAGCTCTAGTATTTTCTTCTATTCTAATGAATTCTATTTATTTGTACACAAATGCATGTCATGACCTGCAACTGACTTCACAATTCACTCTCTCTTAGAGCATTTCCCTTACTACACTGTGGAGTTTATCATTTATGTGATAAACTCATTGAATGTGAGCTCCTTGGGGACAGACAAGTAGGCAGGTCATATTGGAGTCACTGGACTCCCCCCTCAGGAGTGAGCCATTGAGTACAATGAGCTGAATCGAATTGAGATCTACCGAACTCTTGAAAAGCAGGGTTTGGGATGTGGGATGTGGTGGTGGGAGGGGGGTCCCCTCTAGGGGTCCAGCCATGCCTGGAGATGCAGTTCTGGCTATAGACATTGGGTGCCAGGGGACTGGAAGACAGATGTTCCCAACTCTTCAGAGGAGCTGGCTAATGAGGACACTAAGCCCTCAAGCACAGCCTTGGACAGGAGACAATAAGACAGGAAGAGTCCTCTCCAGGAACCACAAGAGGAAGGGCACAGGAAGTCTGAGGGCAGGTGGCCAGGCCAGAATCGTGGTGATGGATGCAGTGAGGTGGGTGCCTGTTACCACAGCAACACAGGTGTCCCTGTTGAAGATCGATGCTGCTGGTGTGCAGTGTGGCCTGCCAGGGGCATTAGAGTCATGATGATGCAGGAGGGAGGGCCTTCTCTTCCAGGATTCTGCAGTCTGAGAAGCTTACTCTTTATCTCCAGCAAAGTCCTAGAGTGGACATTGCCTGTTAAAATTCCCACTATAATGGGCTTTCCCCCTTTCAGATGCTGGCACTATTTGTGACAAGAGATCCTGGTTCAGGGCCTCCCCGGTGGCGCAGCGGTAGAGCGCTGGGTTGCGAAGCTGCCCGCGGCCTCTGCGGCGCCGGTTCAATCCCCGGCTGCTCCCCAGCCACCGGAGGAGGGTCCCACATGGTGCGCAGACCTCTCCTGCCGCCCGCTGCTCCCCTCAGCAGTGTACTTCGGTCCTTCTGCCTGCTCTGCTCCCGCTCTGGCTCTGGTGAATTCTCTCACCCTCCCGCGCTTCTGACTGTACCCAGTGCATGTATAAACAAAACAAACAAACAAGCAAACAAATAAATAAAGAAAAACATGCCTCTATTAAAAAAAAAAAAAATTTAAAAAAAAAAAAAAAAAAAAAAGATCCTGGTTCAGGCAGTCACCTGAGTGGTCCAAGAGTCTGGCTGGGAGAAAATGGTGGTGGGGAGGGCACTATATTCTAGCTATGGTTCTATCTTTGGCTGGCTAAGTCACTCCAAATAAGTTCTTTCCCTCTTGGCCTCAGTTTCCCATCTCAGAAAAAGGAATGCAAATTGATTCTCAGTGAAGCTACTGGCATCTCAGATGGGTCAAGTATTTGCTGTGTGGACTTCTCAACCTGCCAAATGCTGACAGTACCCTTGGGCAACTGTGACAATTCCAAACATCCCTACCTCAATTTCTAATGCTCCCCAGGTTGGATCCTCTATCTTTGACATATGGGGAAAGGTCCTAAGAGACAGACTAAGAGGGGCTATTTTGGGTGGTACTTAAAGGGAAAGAGTGCAACAGATAGTTTGGGTGTGGGGTGTGAGTGGGGAAATGGCGGAAGGGTGGGGATATGATCATTGGGTATCTGGAAATAAAATGACAAGAAAATCGGTGGGGAAGGTTCTGATAGGGAGGAGAGTGCAGAGGCAGTATTAACTGAAGAAATGAAGTCATTGTGCAGGACCAGAACATTCAGCACCATGGACAGCAGAATATTAGCCTTCCCCACTCATTATTTGTACAGGTGGGAACCTTGGAGAGCTACCAATACCCAGCTCTTCCACCCTGCATTCAGAGCATGGCACTGGGCCAGGCCCAAGAAGGTCAAGATAATTCATGTCACTCTTTAAGGCCCAATTTCAACCCTCACTCTTTCAATAGCTTCCATGTGGCAATCTTTCAGGTGCCACAGCCCTTGAGGGTTTAGCAGCTCACTTCTCTTGGCTCATGCAGGGTTGGGGTTGTTCTCTCACAGACTTCTGTAAAAGGGTCTTATTTTACCAGTCAGCCCAGGGGGGTGAGGTTTAGATTGCCCTCTCCTCTGGATTTTTCTTAAGGGACATAGAGAGTTGAGCACATGGGGGCTTAGGATGGACCAAGATGGTGCTGTTGGCTAGGTAACTGGGGAATCCAGAATGAGGGTGAGAGGCTCAAAGTGGGCCAACAGGACAGTGTGCTACCTCAGATGCCAGGCACTACCAAGTTGTATGTAAGAGATCACACATGCAGGAGGTATCGATGGTTGCACACATGTACCACAGTAAGGCTGTGCCTGAGGGCCAGAACTGCTGGCACTGTAAATCCAAACCCAAGTAGGGTAGGGGTGTCAATCAAAAAGAACAAACTTGTGGTCAGCATCTTCTGATTCCAGCCATGAAAGCCTCAGCTGTTCCCATGGGGAGCACATGGAAACTGAGTCAGCAGGTATCTCCCTGCGAATTTAAGAGGGAGAAGCAACTTCTTCCTCATTTGGTCTGGTGGGACCCAAAATAGGAGAATGACATATATGAGAGTTACCCAGAAAAGAAGAGGAAGAATGAGATCTCTCCCCTGGGTGAATTTTTTCATGGGAAACCTCAGAGACAGCATGTTCTAGAAGATTCCGTCAGTGCTACCACTTCTGCAGTGTCTGAACTACGTGGTGTTCAGATCCTTGAAGCAGAGAGTGCCTGAGAGGCCACCCTCAGTCTCCTTACTACCTTTTGCTGGCATTGGGCTACTCTAGTCTCAGCCATCTCTTTCCTATTTGACTTTGGGTCTTGCTGGGAAATTTTGACCTTAGCCTTGGGTCACCTGTCTTAACTTTTGTGGGAAAAATCTCTGCATCATTCTCCTCTCCTAGCCTGGCATCCACAGCCTGGATAGGGCAATGATGTTGTGGGGCATGACTAGTTCTTTTTACCTTCAGTTAAGAAACCATTAAGGGCCTCCCTAGTGGCGCAGGTGGTTGAGCGCAGTGCTGTGAAGCTGTCCTCAGCCTCTGCAGCGCCAGTTCAATCCCCGCTGGCCTTGGAGCAGCCCACATGGTGAGCAGACCTCTCTTGTCTCACCCGCTGCTCTCCTCAGCAGTGTATTTCGTCAGTCTGCCTGTTCTGTTTCCCACTCTGTCTCTGATGAATCCTCTCACCTCCCACACCTCTGGCCTGTACCCCAGTTCTTAACAAAAAATAAAATAAAAATAAATAAAATTAAAAAAATAGTTTAAAAAAAAGAGAGAGAGACCATTAAGAGAAATATGGCATAGTCAGGTGCTGACAGTACAGTTACCCTGAACCTTCCAATCAATGAGTGTCCCCACAAGTTCGTACTCTTGCATTGGCTGGATGTAGCTGCAGCTAAGTAGGACTGGAGGACTGTGGGAGCCAGCAGGAACATTTCCTGTCTTTATCTGTTCATTACACATTGTAAAGGGTGGAGGTCCCCCAAACTTAAAACCAGTTTGATGTAGAAGGAACAGTGGGTTGAGACATTGGTAACCTGCCTTTGCCAACCCATTCATCAGGTTGGGAAGGGCATCCCCAAAGTCATCTGCTCAAGACATTTGGGTTCCAGAATAGGGCACTTCTAGTCCATTCTTTAGTGTTGGGTTGACATTATTTTTGGTCCCAAATGTTCATGCTGGACCTCCCCAAACCCTCACCTCTATTTCCAAAGGATTTTTCACTCATGGTACCTTTCCATCCTGATTATGCAGGCATGGAAAGGATAAATACCCACATTTACAGCACAGTGGGGAAACTGAGTCATAAGGTACATGGCAGTTTCATGGAGGCCATGCTGGGCCATGAAAAAGGGAAGGGTATGGATCCAGTTCATTGTGTGTGAGATCACTGCCCTCCCCAGAAGAGATGTAAGTGGGAGGAGGAGCCCACACCTTGCTCCAGCCTCTATTGTGTAGAGCTCCCTCCTTCCAGTCATCCCTAGCAACGCTCAATGGACTTGTCACCATGACATCGGCCCACAGAGGCAGGTGGAGGGGGAGAGGCAAACAAGGGGGCCCCATAACAGTAGAGACTGCTATGGAATGAGGAATATCAAGGGAAAGAAACCAGGATAACTCATCAGGCTCATCCTCCACTGACTACAGAGAAACTGAGGCCCAAAGAAAAGAAAAACCTGTTCAAAGGTGAGACAAGTGTCAGTGGCATAGCCAGAATTAGACCTGGCTTCCAACCAGTTTCTTTGAGGCAATAAGGGGTGAAAGCATCTGGCTGGCAGAATCTTATCTCCTTCCTGTCACCCCAGTGGTATCTCCCTGGGGCAGGGGCTGCTTCTCTCCAGAGACCTTTGGGGATAAAATCCTCTTAGTGTAGACAGACCACTCCCTCCCAAGATGCCATCTAGGGGCCACAAAGTTGTGCCTCTTAGACATGACAGAAGACCACACCACCTCAGAATGAGGACAACATCCTTAGTGTGAATGGGACCTTCCCATACCCAAGGACATAACTGCTTCTTCTGGGTCCCAGGCTCCCCTCTTCTCCCCTGGCTGCCAATTTCCTAGCTGTTCAGAGCAGCCCAAGTAGCACTGTCTCCCTAATTGTGGCAGGCCCTCCCAAAGTCAGTATATTCTCTGTCTTCTTCACACAGATAAGGAGACTAAAGCTTAGACAAGGGGACCTCCTTGTCACTCAGTGAATCACAGCACAGCCAGGACTTAAATCCCCACCATCTGGAATCTGGGTTCCTCCTGCTTTCCCTCACCCCAAGCACCAATCATGCAGTATGTGAGTTGAGCTCCATATCAGACTCTGGAGCACCTAGTTTGAGGTGGACTAATTGCACTTGCAGGAGGTCCTCAGGGTCACTAGTGCTGGGGCTTTGCTATGGGGATTCCAGATTCTTCTGTGGTTGCTGGAGGGGGTGGGGGTGGAGGTGTGAACAAGGAAGGATACTGTAGTCACTGACTTAATAAGCAGGAGGGAGGAGAGGGAATGGTCAAGGATAAAGTTTTCAGCAAACCTGAATTTAGAATTAGATGGCAGGTGCTGAAAATCAAACAGCATTCTTCTAGAATATTCTAGTCCTGCACCATGGGGCTCTAAAACTAGCAGTATTGAGGCCTATGCTTGGGCCTGGCATTCAAAACTTCCATGATCTTGCTCTTGTTGCTTCTACCTGCCTCTATGTTTCATCTCTGGTCCCATTCTCCCTTCCAGCTGACACATCACTTGTGTAATTTTCCAAGGTTTTGTTCAACAACATTTCCCCCAAGAAGTCTTCCCAGCTTGCTTCCTCCTCTGAAATCAGCCCCTTCCCATGTCTTCCCACATCCTGGGCTGTGCTATTTCACTTACAAATAAGTCTTCTCTCTCTCTCTCTCTCTCTCTCTCTCTCTCTCTCTCTCTCTCTCTCTCTCTCTCTCTCTCTCTCTCTCTCTCTCTCTCTCTTTCTCTCTCTCTCTCTGTCTCACCTTTCCCTCCCCTACCCCACCCCCTGGCAGGCTCAGATTGCATGCCTCTTTGAAGAGCCTGTATCTAATGAGGAGAGGGCAACATATCACAAACCCAATAAGAGATATGCCTCCCAGGGAAGAGCCAGGAAGTGGCTGGAAGACTCCTGCTGGGAGAGGGAGGGAAGATCAAGGTGACTCACTCTCCGTCCTCCCTGAGTAAAGGGTCCTTAGGCAGAGGAACAGCTCAGACTCCATTATTGTTTTTCTCTGCTTCCTGGACCTTCAAAGGCAGAAGTGGAAAAATGCTAGAACATGGGCCAAGAGTTCCCAGTGTCATAAGAGGCCATCTGGGCCCTGGCTTGCTGTGGGACCCTGAGTAAGTCTCTTGCCCTCTCTAGACCCGTCACCTCCCACCCTTAGGTAGCCGTGGAGGGGAGGACTGGACTAACTTCAGAAGCCCCTACAGCTGGGAATTTGATGACCAGGGGGCAGCCACCTTTGCTCTCTCCCTCCTTCCTCCTCTTAGTCAAGCCCTCAGTGATGGCCATGTATGTTGCACTAACTTGTGGCCCTGGGGCCTCAGGTGTGATCAGTGTCACTGGGGACTGAGAACTGAGTTTCTGGATTCACAGCTGCACTTCCTCAATCCAGCGGACAGGATACATTTGGGACCCTTCCTGAGTCCTGCACCCTTTATCATGTCTGTCATCAAAAAATATAACATCCTTACTACACCAAGGCCTTCAAGAACTATCTCTACCTCCTCCAGGAAGCCCTCCTGCACTGCTCTAGTGCACCTCCTCCCACCTTACCCGTCAAAGCCTTCTTTCCCCATTTCTGTTAGAAATTAAGTTATTCTTAACTTTAAGCAGCCTGGGGCTCCTTGAGGGAAGCACTCAGCTTTTATCACCTCTGCCTCCTCAGTGCTGAAGAGTCTTCCCATGCAAGCAAGTAGGCAGCACCCATAGAAAGATCTCTTCTGGCAGGGACCACTCATTTGAGGTTCTTCCATTTTAATACAATCAATGCTTCAGCACGTGTCTAGAATGGGGTTCTGGGAAGTGGGGACTCCTAGTCCTCCCCCTGGAGCTGGGTTAGGTGGTGGAGGAATGCCTCGGTAGAGATGAGCCCAGTCACTCCCAAAAGCACATGGTGGGAGCCTGAGATCAAGATGGCCTAGGCTGAGCAGTGCTGTGCTTAGTGATGCTGCAGGAAGAAGGGGGAGCAGGACCCTCCTTTGTAGCTAGGAGGACCACAGGGGCAGGCAAGAGGAGGTGCCAGAGGAGGCCAGATAGAAGAGGGATGACAGGAGGGAGAGACAGAAGATTTGGGGGGAAGGGAGGTAGAGGAGATACTGGGAGGAAGAGAGAGAGGGGAAGAGAATAGAGAGAGAAGATGGAGGGAAGAAAGGAGAGAGAGACGCATAGACAGAAAACAAGAAACAGAAAGATACAGACACATTAACATAGGAAGAGACAAACAGAAAACACACCCAGAGACAGAGACAGACCACAGAGAGAGGGAGGAGACAGAGAAAGCCACGCACACACGGAGATGGGTTCAGAGGAGTCAAGAATACAGTGGCCGCCTCTGGCCAAACCATGGTGAGCTAGTCCATGTCCCTTCTCCTTGCAGACAGGAGACTGGTGTCCAGTCTCCCTTGATGGGACTTGCCCCATTATACCATGTATGGGGATTTGTGATCATTTTGGATGGCCTAGGATTAGAAGCTGGTTTTCATATGGGCTAGGGGAGACATGGAGGGAGCCCACTTCTTGCCATAGAGCTGAAATGTCAGGGCCTTACCTTCTAAGCTCTCTGTAACCAGAGCCCCACCAACCCCATCCACCAGTGTATGTATGTAGATAAGATGCACCTGCCCTGGGAAAATTAGTGAGCTTGGGGCTCAAGAAATGGAAGTGGGGAGAATGCAGGAAGTTTAAGACCCAAGGCTGGTAGCATTAATGGGGCCCAGCATGAAAGTGTGGGTACTTTACTGTACCAGCTCTGCCCTGAGTTCTTGGCTGGGGACCCCAAATATAGTACTCCTGCCACTCAGTGATTCCATAAGCTCCCAGAGATCCTTTTACCAACACCCTTTTCTGTGGAACCTTAAAGGCATTAGAACATGGGTTTGAATCCTTGTTACGATCTTCATGAATTTGGGAAAGTCACTTAACTTTCCTGTGCCTCGGTTTCCCACATGCAACATGAGGATAACGCTCCATCTCTGTCAAAGGTTTATGTCAGGATTAATGAGTTAGCAGGTCAGATGAAAGTACAGACACATGGAACCAGGGCCATGAAGTGGTTGTGCGGGTGGTGGGGAGAATCCTGGGGAGAATTTGGACACAAAGACACTTAGCTCAGCTCTGCCCCAGACCCCCGTGTGTGACAGGGATCAAGTCCTTTCACTTACTTGATCACTGCACCATCTTGAAATAGTCTCTGGATGAGACTAATCAAGGCTTTGGCCTCCCAAGTTTGTTACCTATAGCTGTCAGTTACCTCGCATCCATCCAGATTCCTGAATACCTTATTGCAGGATTTTCCTACACACCTGGTGTGGACCCTGGCTGCTCCCCACCACCCACCCCAGTCTTGTCAATATAAGGTCTCTCGCATCCATCCCCACCTCTGCTCCAGTGGCTTCCACTCAACCTGGGGCTGTGGCAATAGCCCCCTAACCACTACTTCTGCCTCCAGAGACTGTGTCCAAAGCTGAACTCTCAGCTCACAAGCTCCTTCCCACACTGACAGTGCTCTGCACCATCTCACCTCCATCTACCATCTGGTCTGGTTAATGTCTTTCTCCTACTAACAGAGCTCCAGCAATGCTCAGCAGTCCCAAAGCACAAAGCACAGTGGCCTCTCCTTCCCTACACGCATTATCCATTCACCTGTTGAAACCCCACCTGTCTACAGAAGTCCAGCTCAGAGGGTTAAGCACATCCTGATCTTTCAGGAGTCCTCTAAGTTGGCCTCACAAATGCAGTGTGTCCCTCATGGAGGCAGTATTGCCCTGTGGGTAAGAATGAAGGCTGTGTATGCCCCTGCCTGCACCAGGGCACAGAAGCTAATGATGCCTCTGAGTCTCGGTTTTATTGTCTGCAATGTGGGCAGAAAAGCAGTACATATCTCAGGAACTCATAGGGAGCTGGGGATAAATCGGTGCACTATACAAAGTTCTCTGTGGTAGCTGGCTCCTGGAAAATGATCAACACTTGGTAGCTTTGTGGTTGATCCTCTGTGCTTAGCTGAGTAGATAAAATTTCTTAGAGACTACGTCCTAAGCTGTATCCCACCTGGGCATTATCTACCCTCTAAGGAATGAGGCTGTGGTAGGGTTTGGCTGTAGCATACACAAAACTGGACATGGACAGGAACTGGAACTTTTCCTCCTTTTCCCCTAAGCTTCTCATTTTCTTCCCTGTGTCCTTCTATTCAAAGGAAGAATCCCACTGGAAAGGCTCGTGGAGAGGGAGAGCAGCAAGGGGAGAAGGGAGTGTGGACTGAAGAGCAAAAACAGATTCTGCTTTTCCTGCCTTTGCTGCAGCACAGGGTAATTGCAATGACCGCACAACCTCACCCCTACTCCCCAGAAGTTACAGAGCAGGCAGCACTTTGGTCCCAGCAAAGAAAACTGTTCATTAGATATAGGGGCTAGTTGGCACTGTGCTTGCCACTCTTGGCAGCACCTTGCCCTTTTTTTCAGTTTCTGGTTTGCCAGGGTGATGTGAGTGATCTGGTTTGTGCTCCAGCACCTCCTCTGGGAAGTCTTTCCTGTCTTTCTGAGTCCCCCCACCCTGTATCCCAGAGTCCCTTGTTCACCTCCATCAGGGTATTTAGTCACTCTGTATTTCTTCTGTCTGTTGTCTGTGATTGAGGCCTCAATGCCAGTTCACAGGCTGGCACATAGTGGGTGTTTAATAAATTGATGGAATAAATACTGGGCTCAACTCTGCCATGGAGAGGAGAGACAGTCACTGCCCTTGGGAAGCTCCAGGTTGATTGAGGAGAATAAGGTGCAGCCCAGGCTGGAGTAGGAGGCAAAGCAGAGCTCATCAGAGCCATAGGCTATGGGGTTGAGATGCTTCATCATCTCATTTAGCCCTACTCTTCACGCCAGCCAATATCAGGAACCCTGATCTCTGTGCCTCACCTTACTCAACTCACAGAATTCTAAAAATACAGTTTTATAATCTCAGGACTGGGATAGAGCTTGTACACCTTCTAGGTGGGGTCCTCTCTGCCCCCTAAAATCTGTTTTAATCATGCCTGGGAAGCCAGTTTCCAGATGATGCAGAGATCCTTCAGTGACTCTAACACCCCCTTCCCTCCGACTCTTACTCCTCACAGCTGCTTCCTGGGCCCAACAGAGCCCTCCGCTGGTGCAGACAGGGGAGTGCCACTTGCATCAGATTCAGGCACTGCTGCTTTGCCCTCTAACCATATCTCCTGGTAAAGTCTTCAGTCTCTGAAAGCTTGGACAGACACCTGCACACATGTGTGATAGGTGGGGGAGCTGTGCCACTGCTCAGAAGCAGACATTCACAGAGGTTGCTGTGATGTTTCCAGGATAAGGGGCTTCAGACACAGCTCACACTCAGTCCCCACCCACAGGGTCTTGGGAGGTTCTCTGCTGCTGGGTGGGGCTGGAGACGTGAGGGAGCTTCCAGGGTGGCCAGTGATTGTTGCCACATCCTCACAGAACACTCCAACCTCACTTCCATCAGACCTTCCACAGGGCATAGACTTAGGCACCCCTGCACACTCCCATGCCAGAACCACAGCCTGAACCAAACAAGCCCCCCCAGATGCTGAACGACTCCAGTCATCTCTGCTGCAGTCTTCCCCAAAGCGTCAAGCACGCCATTTGCCAGGAGAAAAGAAAACACATATTGTTCTCCCTGGGAGGTGGGGGGTGGTCCTGAGTCAGACATGGAGCATCAACTGGGCACAGGAGTAATGCTGCCCACAGGCCGGTACTCAAGCCAGAGGCCGAGCAGGGGGCATCTGGTTAGTGCGGATGTCCACACTCTGGCCCCAAAGCATCTACACTCTGTATGTCCCCTCCCCAGAAGTGCTCACCTCACCTTTCCTGCCTCCTGCCCTCCTTCTCTGTAGTGTAGTGTGTGGTCACCACACTGCCTGTGGGGGGGTTGAACTTGGTGTAAACAGCAGGGGCTAAACAAAGAACAAGCCCTAATTGGGGGACCCATAGCATACAATGTAGGAGAGGGTTCCTCTCAAAACAGAAGTATTTCTATCTACCCTCTCACAGCATGGAGCCCTGGAATTGTGGGCAAGCCACTGCCCCACTGCGCTCTTATGTTACAGTAGGGTTGGAGCAGAGGGAGTGGCCCCTACATTACAAGGATCCTCAATGCCAGAGGGTACTTTGACCCTCACCCTCAGCAAGTCTCTAACTCCGGCTCCAGATCCCTCCCCACACGCTAAACCTCCTTCCTGGGCTGCAGAAGCGGATTCCCCAGCGGAGGGTCCGCGGGCACTCACCGGTGGTGTTGTACTTGACGCCGTTGAAGTACTCAGGGCACGGCCTCACCACCAGGGCTCCAACCACGCTCAGAGGCCAGCAGGTCCCGATCTGGTCCAAGGTTGCATTGCAGTATGAGTAGGGACCTGGCGACAGGAGAGGGCAGAGCAGGGCTCAGCGGGATCGCTGAGAGCGCGGCACGTCGCGGGGCGCACGGAGCGCGCGGGGCCCTCCGCGCTCCCAGAACGCCGGGGAAGGATCCCGCGCGGCTCGGGTCCATCAGCTGCCCGCCTACCCTCGGGGTTCAGGGGCGGCACCCAGTCGTCCAGGAGCTGCTCTTCGGGCAGCTGTAGGCTGCAGTTGGCCTCCAGCAGGCTGTGGAGCAGCGCCGCGTCCATCGCGCCGGGAGCCGCGCGCTCAGATGTGTAGAGTGACTGCACGACCGGCGCGGCCGCGAGGGACTTGGGAGGAGTGTGCGGCCGAAAGAGAGCGGGGTCCTGCCCCCGGCGCACCCAGGACCTGCTCGGTAGCCTTCGGGGGCGGTGTTTGACCGCCGGGAGCGACTAAGTCGGGACCTTCCCGGAGAGGACCTGCGGCGCGAGCGGAGCCGCAAGTCCACCCTCTCGCTCGCGGCCAATGGCGGCGCCAGGGGGCGGGGCCGGCAGCTCCTCTCGCCCGCCCACCCTGCAGCCCCCCGCCCGGCCCCGCGGGCCGTCTGCCTGCTCAGATCTCGGCGTGGCAGGGGAGAGCGGCGAGGCTGGAGATCGTGGGCCGCACAGTGCGCCCACCCCGCCCTGCCCGGAACAGGAGGCTGCCAGCCTCACCGAGAGCCAGAGTTGGGAGGCGCGCTGTCTTTGAGTTTCTTTTCCCCATCTTAGACGCCGTAGGGAGCAGAGGGCCCATATATAGATCTGCGGGCTAGAAGAACCCCTTTGGCTTCCTGAAGGAAACAGATTGGAGGGGCCATAGAAAAGCCTAGTGAGATCAAAAGGCCTGAATGGGTGAAGACCTGGGCCAGGCCCTGGGAGCTGGGCTGGAGAGGGCTTTCAGGGAAAACCCGCCCTGGTGAGAAGGGACTGGAAGAGGAGTGAGTGGGCAGCTTCCAGCAGGAGCCAGGAGTTGGGTTTAACACCAGGTCTTCTGCGTAGGTGACTGGGAGAGGCGGGTAGAGTTGCCATTTAATGAGATAGGGAAGTCCAGGGGAGTTATTGGCTGAAATTACCTCAAAGACTTCATGCACTTTGCTGGGTCTTACTGTCCTGGGCTTCAGAGAGAATAAAGTGAGAAGTGGGTAGTGCCACCAGAAATGGGTTTCCACATGAGGGTGTGTGTGCGTGTGTGTGTGTGTGTGTGTGTGTATGTGTGTGTGATCTGTCCCCACAGCAAGCTGGAAGAGCTGAAAACCTGCAGATGGAGTCTGCCCAGGTCTCCCTCAGGACTGCCTCCTCCGTAATGTGTTGCATCTCCACCGTCACAGATCATGCCTGCTGACTGGGCAGATAAGGGCTCAGGAGCCAGGGCCCGGGGTATAGATACCCCAGCTCAGCTGGGTTCTGGTTTCGCCCCTGTCTCTCCCTACTTGCCCTGCATGTTACCCCAATTCTTACCCTCTCTCCTAGGTTGTTGAAATGTTCGCTGAGTCCTCCCCCCTTACCCCGCCCTCCCCACCACACAGCTCTGAGAGTCTTTGGTTCTGAGTTATGAGAGTCAAAGGCTGAGGAAGACACTTGTGCCTGCGTGTGTGTTTCTATCTTTAGAGGGAGCAGGAAACTCAGTCTCGGTTAGATTGGGGGCCCCAGGGCGACTAGGCCTGTCCCGTGCCAACCTCTACTGGGAACAAAGCTACCAGCGTAGGCTGCGACCACCCTGAACCTGTGCTCTGCTCTGGGCAGGGGAAGGGCATGAGGCTGGCCCCGCTACTTTCCTGTGCTCCAGTCTTACTGGTCTCCCCATTAATGCTGCTGTCATTGCTCAGGAAGAGCTGGAGAGCGAGAGAACACTGAGAGCAGGACTGAGCACTGAAATCTCTCTAGGGGCAACTGCTGGCAAGTATAGGTGCAGACCACCCAACCAGGTCTGTCCTCTGCTTCCTGAATGGATATTAGATCTCTTGACTCCACTCTGGGCAGTAGCAGTAGTATAGGTAAGTCCCTTGGTGTCCACAGTAAGCAGTGCTAGGAGTAGGGGTGCAGAGGTAGAGTCCTAACCCTAGACCTGAGCCTGACCCGAACCCTCAAGGGAGGGCAGTCCTCACTCTCAGACTGAACCTTGCCCCACAGGGTCCCACCTAAATTAGAGGGTGACTGACAGGTCAGCTCTTGTTTTCACTGGGAAATAGTTTCCATGCGCAAAGGAGGGACCTCTAACACCGATTACAGCACAGGGAGGAAGAGAGAAATCTAGCTATGCTAAGTTATTAACATGCTCATCACCAAAGCACAGGGGAATCAGCTATTTCAGGGCATGGTAGGTGTCCAATGACTAGAGGACAAGGATTTCTTATCTCTCATGCAGACTTCCACGGAATAAAGAGTTGGCCTGGGTGACCTGGATTGCTCTAAACCAGGACACACATGTAATCAGTTTCCTATGGGAAGTGCCATTTTGGTGGCAGAGCCAAAGGCTATTCTGCAGAGTCGGGACCTGAGCACAAATCAATAGATTCAAGTTTCCCTGGTGTCCAGGAGGTAGGATTCTTCTTGGGTGTTATTATTGGCATGATTGTCTGTTATTCTAGATGCAACAGAGAGGAAACTGAAAAAAGTAGCAGTTTTGAAACAAGGTAGTTTTACAAGTTATTTGTGTTTGCAAATAGGTAAATGAGAAAGAAGTTGGAAAGAGCTAAAATTTTCCTCAGATTAAATCCAATTACAAATAAATAGGGACCTGGGGTAATTTGGTAACTTTTGCTGCCACAGGTAAATGGGATAGAGGTGAGCTTCCATGCCAGGCTGGGGAAGAGGCCTTTGGCACAGTCAAGGCATTCATAGGCGAGTGGGGGGACTGGCAGGTTGACAAGGAAGTTCAGGGAAATGAAGTATGTGCCTTTGGCCCACCTATGATGTCAGCTGACAGTGGATAGTTCCAGGCAAGGCTCTCCAGTGCACAGCCCGATACCCTGCATCAAACAGGCATGGAGAACATAAGAAACACACATTGTGTCACATGTCTTCACAGCATCACACACATTCTCTCACACCCCATGTCAGAGAGGAGACGGGATTTAAGGTGGTAGGCTGTGTTAGCATGTCAGAGGACCTGTGCTCCATCAGACTGGAACAGACAGGAGCAGGCAGAGCTAGGACAAAGGGGTGGACTTTCCTGGGCGTTACAACAGGACCGGTTGACATGGCAGATCAGGCGGCACCTGAAGACACCCCATTCTTGCCCTGTAGCTCTGGGGCAGAGTCTAGACACTCCCACCCTCCTCACCTACCCTACATTGGGACAGGGGAGAAAATCTGGTGTTTTCATGTCGAACTATGGGCCCAGACTGTGGAGTCAGGAAGGGTCACCAGGAACCTTCCAATCCTGTTTCTCATTTGCACAGGGGTGAAGGGAGGTCCAGAGGAGAAAAAGGGATTTCCCCCTCCAACCATGCCTGGGCCATCTGCATAGCCCCACGGGGCTCCCTGTCTCCTCCCCTGGGCAGATGAAGTGAATTTTCTATTTATTCTAATTTTCTAATTGTTCACTGCAAAGAGCAGTCTTCATGGTTGTCTTCCCCCATGCTCTCCCTCCTGCTCAACTTGAGATGCCCTATGGAACAACTTGTCATTCCTGGAACTCAGCTATATCTTTGCACATGTTGTTCCCTCTGCTGGGAATGTCCTTACCACCCCAGTTAGCTTAGCCAACGCCTTAAAATGTTCAGCTTAGCTCTGAACGCCTTTGTCTTGTCTAGGTTGGGTGGGCTTTCTTGGTGTGCCCAGCTGCTGGGACCGGCACACTAAGGTTGCCAGTTTTTCTATCGTCTCTTCTGTGAAGCCCCAGGGGCAAGGCTGGCCCTATCACTGGTCCCAGCCCCCATCAGATGCTCCAGGCCTGTGCTGAGTGGGTCAGGGCTTGGCAGTGACCCTGTCTCTGGAATAAGGCTCTTTTCCCATTTGGGTGACTGAGTGTGTGTGTGTGTGTGTGTGTGTGTGTGTGTGAGTGTGCATGTTGGATTGGGGAGTTATTTCAAGAGATCCTTCAATCTATTCAGACCCTAGTCTGCCTATGGACCAAATAATACACCTCATAATACATGCCCTATTAGATGCCTCTGTGACGAATAAAATAGAAATAATCCATTTAAAGCTGCCTGAAGTCTCTTGTAATAATGTGTGTTTTTTCTTTATTTGGACCTCAGGGGCATACAATTTTAATTGATCATAGACTTTGATTCATGACCCTTTATTATCATTAGCCCATGCATGGCCTAACTTTACTCTATTTTTGTCTCTTCTTTTATGGAAATTTGTATGTAGCAGCACATCTAATAAATCTGTCATCCAATCTGAAACTAGATTATTCCAATCATTTAGATATTTATCTATATATTCCTTCCCCAGAGGGAACATTCTCTTGAAAATTGTGTTTATCATTTCCTTGCTCTTGGTTTTTTCAGTTTTATCATATGTATGTCTAAATAGAAGATTGTTTGGTTTTACTTGGTTTTGAACTTGATGTTAATCATTATGCATTTTCTCAATCGGTGAACACTAAGGAAATATCTCCCACTTGGGGGATCCAAGATATTATTCCCTAAGTCCTAGAGTATCCTGATAGCCTATGTGTCCCACCTCAGGGACGGGGCTAATGAAGGGTGCTGTGCCCCCGTGGGGACTGCTAGGCAGTGTAACCAGCAACATGCCGTGTGAATATTTAGTGGAGGGGAAAATGTTCATTTCGAGTTATAAAAGGAAAAGGAAAAAGCAAGTAACAAAACTGTGAACACAGGGTCATCCTGGTTTTATGAAAAAGCAAAAAGTGAAAAAACATGAGGGTCTCTGGATTGATAAACTCTTGGGGATTACAAACATAAAAATTCCAGAGTTATAGGATAATGAACACTTATTGTCTTCTTAAAAACATTTTTTCACATACATATATATATAGAATATATGTGTGTATATATAAAATATCCAGAGATTATTAATAATCTCCTGTTTGTGAACAAACAAATGATATTACAAGTTAAGCACTTGGAGAAGTTGGGACTCTACTAGGCTCAGATGATGGACCCCTGGGGTACCATCGACCAGGGGTCATGGGGAAGTAGAGGGCTTGTGCCATGTGTTGGGGGGTAAGGCGGGCAGGGAGAAGGTGGTGTGTCTGCTGATAAGCCAGTGTTGCCTCTCCGAGCAGGAAGCTGCAGTGAAGGGGAGGTTGGGGTCCTCCTGAAATAGGAGGCCTCCATTTCCTGTCTGATGACTTTTTGATGTGGCCCATGTTGGGTGAGTCACAATAAATCTGAGCTTGATTTTGACCAGTTCCTAATAGATGAGGAAAAAGGCTGAATTTTGTCCATCAAAACCTGTATGTTGGCGTGATACTCTTTAAACTATAGTATTGGAGTGGAGGGGGAAATGTTCATTCTGAGTTAGAAAAGGAAAAGGAAAAAGCAGGTTATCAGAATGCGCTCTTATTTGGCACTAGATAATCAAGTTAAAATCAGGTCATTAGGGTGGGCCCTAAATTTTGAGGTTAAGACACAGACATACGCAGGGAAGACCAAGTGGAGATAGAGGGAGAAGGCAGTCATCTACTAGCCAAGGAGAGGACTTCAGAGGACACCAGCCCTGCTTGATCTTGGACTTCTAGCCTCCAGGATCATGAGAAGATGCATTTCTGCTGTCTTGACCTCCAGGCTATAGTACTACACTGCAGCCCTAGCAGGCCAGTGACTGGGCGGGTTGGGTGACTTGCCAGATGCACTGTTGTCAGTTTGAGGCGATAGGACCCAGATCCTGTCTGACCCCAACACCTGAACCTTAACCCTCCGCTGTGAAGAGGACAGGCAGCAAGGCTTTCCTCTTCCATGCCTGACCCAGGCTGTTTGGTGTGGGGTCCAGTGTTGGCCAGTTTTCTTCTCTCCCTGTACCCCAGTAGCAGTTCCAAGCCCAAGGGCACCCTCAGTCCTCCTGCTCCTCTGCTGCTTCTGTGGCTGCAGGGCTGAGAAGGCGGGGATGCTGGGCGGGGTCCTGGAGACAGTTCTCCAGAGACCGTGAGAGCAGGCTGTTCTGAGCTCAGTGGTGGCTGACCCTGACTCTGAGGGGGTCAGAACTCCCGGGCTTGGCTGCTGCCTTGCGGGTCCTTAACAGAAGGTGATAACTGTAGCCACGGCAACCGGAGAATATGCTTTGCACCTTCTGCTGGTCTTGTCTGAGTTTGAAATCAGAGGGTGCCCCTCTTTGGGCTCCTGAAAGTCAGCTGTGTTGGCTTTCTTTAGGTGCAAGAAAACACTGGGAGCTGGAAGACTCACAACCAAACCCTCATCATCAGTTAAGAAACTGAACTCCTAAATGGGGAAGGGGCCTACCCAAGGTTGAGGTAAGAACCAGGACTGGGAGCCAGTCATAGCCACAATTCAGTAGACTCTAGAAATTGTATCCCCTCCCCTTCCCTCCCCTCCAGGCCCTGGGACTCACCCCCACTTGAAGGGGACTGTTGCAGGGTGGTGGCAGGAGACTTGCGTACCTGAGAGGTTGGCGAGGGTTGTAACTGTATGGCAGTACTGCTCCAGCAATGCCCATAGTGGCTGGTCTCTGGTCACCTGGCTTGGCCCCGCTGCCTGGGGATGGGAGGGATAGGGTCAGAGGTCAGGTGCAAGCTAGCCATTGACAGAACATCATGTTCCCCCTGCCCCTGCCTGTTCTGTCACTCATCCCTGGCTCCTCTAACTTCTGTTGTATAGTGGGAGAAACTAAGGAGGGAAACACCCGAGGCCATGTAGCACAGAACAGCAGCCTGGCCAGGCCTGGAACCCTGAAGCAGTCTGAGAAGTGATCCACAGCAGCTTGCTCTCCAAGAGAGCAAAGGTCTCCTCTTCAGGATGGGATGCACCCCTGCGAATTGGCCTGCGTCTTGTCAGCAAAGCCACCAGCTGTTCACTCACCCGATAAATATTTGTGGAATGCTTCCTGTGTGTCAGGCTCTGGTTGGGGGACACAGTGGGTGTCCTTAGGTAGTTCCAGGCCAGGTAGGAGTCCCCTAGACTTTGAACTACAGAAGGGAGAGGAGGAGAGCAGATGATTTACTTTATTTCCCCATCATACAGGTTAACGGGCAGTTACAGCAAAAGGTGTCAGGTTAACACATGGGAGAAACATATAACCTGGACTTGGGAAGACAAGGAAGTCTTCCTGGAAGAGGTGCACTTTGAGGATAATCAGAATGATGAGCAGGAGAAAGGAAAGGACCATTGTGCTACTGCAGGCACTCACCAGGAAACAGATGGGTTGTGGAAACAACAGTAATCCCATTCAAAAGACAAGAACTACGCAGGACCCCATCTCTCCTGAAACAATCATGAGAGTGATGCTGGGTATGGAGGGATAAAGTTGATGTAGCTATCTCTGTCCTTGAGGGGACCATCTTTTGCAGGAAAACATGGATGGGTGATCAACTTAGTATAGCATCTACAATTTGCTGAAAAGGAATGGGGTAGTGTCATGGAGGAGGGCATGTTGATTTGGGCTTTGAAGAATGAGTAGGAGTTTGCCCAGCACTGCACTATAAAATTCTAACCCTCTCCCCCATCCCTCCCAAGACCAAAACTTTTCCCTGCTTTAACTCAGTATCATGAGTATGTGCAAGATGACTTCTGCACCTCTCCCAACCAGACATTCCTGATTCTTGATTCCAGAAGGCACTGTCTTATCAGTAGGCAGCCCCTCCCCTTTCTCTGCCTGTCAGATGTTTCTGCCCAGGCAGCTGCTTGTTGGGTCAGTGTTTGTCCCAGAATGTCCCCAGGGTCAGAGCCTACAGCCCCCAAACATCACGTTCCCCACATCGGGCTTGGGCCATTTCCTGTGCTGGAGCTGGAGGCCACATGCTCACCCTCACTATGTGAGTCTGGAGCTCCTAATTAATGAGTGACCTGACCAGGTCAGGCGGGAGATGGGGAGGATGGCCCCTACCCTCTGAGAGCCTAGGGTGCACATGGACACTGCTTACAGGCGCCGCGTTCTCCCCACAGTAGAATGTGGGCCTGTAGGCCAAGAGCTGGGCTGGGGGAAGGGAGATTCTGCTAGCTGGGCAGGGCCTTGCACAAGGGAGCTAGAGTTTGGGTTCTACAAGCTCTGAGGTCCCTGTGACCCCACTGTTCTCTCTTCTGAGGGGACAGCTATTGGCTCTTAGTTTTCTCAGGGGCAAAAAGCTGCCCCCAACCTTCACCCCTACCCCATGAGACTACAGGCTATTGTAGAGACAGATGTGAAACCCATCTGTCTGGTTCACATCTGGACCCCCAATTCCCAGCACAAACCCTGGAATATAGCAGGTGCTTTATAAGTGACTGTTGGTTGACTGGATGGAAGGGTAGATGGAGGAAACCAGGGTCCCCTCAATCAGGTAGAGCTGCACCCCTATTCCCAGTTCTGGGGACTCAGGTTCTGGGCTGTTTATGCAAGTCAGATTTTCTTCTCTTTGAGACCAGCCCAGTCCCAGCTCCAGCCTGTGTGCTGGGATTGGAAGCCCTCACCTTAAGACAGGCCAGGGGAGGGGGGCTCTGGCAAGGGAAGGAGGCAGCAAGTCAGATACCAGCCAAGATACCAGCTGCTCTTCCTCCATTTGGGCCCTGCCCAGGAAGAACCTGTGCCCCAGGGGCCAGGCAGGCCTTAAAGGTGCCACCCCCCTGGAGCCAGGGGGTCTGGCCCATCCTAGCACTCCTCCTGGCCTGGCGACAAAGCTGCATCTAAATTTAGCCCCTGGTCTAAGCCTGGGAGATTTACGGGAGCACAGGTCCTGTGGTCAGGCTGCCAATAGCTGAGGGGAATGGGGTGAGCTCCCTTCTGTCTCCTCTGCTTCTGCTCAAGGTCAGAGAGGACTTCTCCTCGGGATGGACAGGATTCCTTCTCACCCTACTGTTTTCTTTCATTGAACCTGAGCAAGGGGCAGAGGAGAAGGAAACACTAGGCTCTGCTCAGAGGAGAGGATCCGTGGAGAGGGGGAGACATAAAAGAGAGAAGGAGGAGAGAGAAAGGGGGAGGGGAGAAATAGAGGCGGAGTGGGAGGAAGGGAGGAGGGGGCAGGAGGAGGTGTGGGAGGAGGGAGAAGAGGAGGGGGCAGTCTGGGCCCTGAGCAGACTCAGAGGACACAGAAGCCTAGCGGAGGCGGGCATCAGCAGAGGGTGAGGGATTAGAAGCCATATGAAGGAAAAAGGTTAATTATTTTCTGGAATACCTGGGAAGGCTTCCTGGAAGAGGCAAGCTTAGATACTTGGTTCTACCTTATCAGGTGCCAGGTCTCCAGGGAGGGTCCCAAGAGCCCGCAGCAGCTTCCAGTGGGCTCTCCCTTCCCTAAGTCTCTGCTCTATTAGGGCCTTCTTCCTAAAATATGCCAGTCTCCCCTCCAATCTTAATTTATCAGCTAACTTTCCCAGAGAAACTTCTAGGCCTCTCCTCATTATGTGTTCTCTTATCTTAGAGAGAGCCTGTGGCTCCCTCTCTCTCCTCTGATCCTCTCCCTTTACCTGTGGCAAGCCCTGGTCCCGGTCTGCAGATGTCTGAGGGAGGGAGGGGCGGGGGAACAGAGAAGGTAGGAGGGAGGGAAGTAGGGAATACCTTAACTCAATAAAAGGGAAGGGAGGAGATGAACAGGAGGTCCTATGTAACAGGCCACTAGGCCTAAAATTATCTCCTTGATTATTAACTCATCTAAATTGCTGTTTGCCTAAAATTCATCCCTTTCTGATTTCTAGTGGCATCTAAGTGTCCTAAAAGTAATATTAAAATTGAATGACAATAAAAATAAATTTTTGTTCAGGGAAGAGAATCTAGAGTGAAGCTGCCTAGCTTAATCCCTGACCCAGTTACTAACCAGTCAAATGACCTTGGACACATGACCTGGCCTTAGCCTCCTCATCTGTAAAACGGGGATAATTACGGTCTTAAATAGATCATGTATATGGCAATGATAAGAACAGTGCCCAATATATGTAGCCTAAATAGAATAAACAAAATAAGCTTTTTTAAAATATAATATCATCTTTTAAATAATATAATCTATCGTTCCCTATGATGGACTTGAAATTATAGCTTAATAAAGTAGAATTTTGAATAGTGACCTTAGATAAACTGGCTGTGGAGTCCTAAAAATGGTTAGAATTAGATAAAGTAGAAAATGACAGCTAAAAGGATACAGAATAGTCCTATAATTCATAAAGTGCTGCAAATTTGAGACTTATTAGGAATACAAAATTAAGTAGGCAGTGCCTTCAGACAAATTGGCTTTTAAAAAAGATACTTAAACATCACCAAAATGGCAAAAGCAGAGACTGAATTAGCTGATTAGGTTAAAAAACACTCAGAAAGTAGTTGGAATTTTGGGAAAAGTCATTAGATGAATTAGCTTCTGTAGCCCCTGGGGAAATGTGTGTGTGGGGGGGGGGGGTGCAGGGCCTTGGTCTTGGGGAGGGCTGTGCAGGTTAGGGAGGGTCTAGGCCAGAGACGCCTCTCTTTGCTGAACATTCTCAGGTCAGATGCCAGAACCTGGGGCAAGAAGTCACAGAAGCACTGTCCTGAGACCCTGGGGAGGTCATCTTACTGCCCCAAGGTTTGAAGGGCTGGACCCCATTAAGAGAGATTGGTAGAACTGGGGTCCTCACTGGCTGGGGGTGGGGGTAGAAGGCAAACAGCCTACAAGGTTAAAAGGAGGGTTTGGGACTCCACCTGAACTTCACATAAACTCCATTTTTGTAAACAACTGTCTTACCTTCCCAGTGTTTTAGCAAAATGCTTAGCATAGCACCTGGCACACAAAACAGGCTGCGTGGCATAGTGCGGCCTCCAAAAGGCCTCCAAGGGCAACCTGGGAGCACCAGAGTCAAGCCCAGCTCCTCCAGGCTCTTGGATGTGGGCTGGGCCTGGGAGTCCTCCCCACATAACACTAGTTAGAATTTTCCCAAATTGCAAATAGATTAAGCCCTTCCCTGGGTAGTGAGCTGGCCCTGGGCATAAACATGAGACCCCACCAGGTCCCCTCAGGGTCTCCTGGAGCCTCACACCATCTCTTTTCAGGGCTAGGGCTCTTGGGGCCTTCTTCCCTGCCCGGGCTCCTCTTGACCACCCCATCTCTATCCCTGCCATCCCACCCAGCGCTTATCAGACCTCCCCCAATCCTGTCAGGCTCCCACATCTGCACATACTTCTCCTTAATTCCAATGACCAGTTAGTTTGTAAACACACACTTCATCCTTCACCAGTATGTTCTCCTGCCAGGATTGCTCTCTGGGTTATCAGCTCCAAACAGTGCTGGTTTTCACCACACCCGTCCCCTAAACACTGGCAAAAGGGCTGGAGGCCCACCCCCCTCTGGGCTGCCTTTCTCTCCAGTGCCTGCATGGGTCACATATTCTCATTTCACAGCAAGCAGCAATCTCGGAATAGTTGGATGAGACCCAGAAATAAATCCCGTTACCATGAAGGTGGCTTTGGGGCCAGAAATACCATGATTTCATTTGCTCTAGCTGGTCACATGCTGAGTAATTGTGGATGAGTCGCTAGTCTCTGGTCTCAGACTCTGCCTGGTCTCAGGGCCTGGGATAGCTCAAAGGTGAAGGCAGTTGGTTGCCTCTGAGGTGCCCAATTTTGACATCCCCGGAACCCAGGATACCTCCCACAGTACCCCTCCACCTGGCCTGACTCTGGGGCAGCAACCTGAAGCCCTCTCCATCTCACCAGCTTGGACAGTGGGCCTCCTGGCCTCCAGAGGGGAGGGGCTGAGGGGGGACCCTGGTCCTAACACCTGGCTCTCTTGGAAGACACCGACCCCAGAACAAGTGGGAGGGGGGCATACAGAACTCTAAGCCCAAGACCTAGGGTGAGGCTGTGGGGTAGCAATGAAGCCATCCCACAGCCTCCACCCACCCCAAGTACAGCCCGGCTCATCTAGGGGCAGCCTGCCTACAG